TCTTCTTCTTGCTCCTTCTCTATAAAAAGCCTAGCTTTGTTCTTTTCCTAATTCGTCCTAACGCCTAGTAAATGAAAACTCTGAGGCCATGGTTCAAACTCCTTTTCTTTCTGAAATTGTTCCTAGAACATTATTCAAATACGACATTCACCATCCACAGGAGGCCTAGGGCAGATGTTTAATTTCTTATTTAATTTCTCGTTTAATTCGGGAGTAAAATTTACAATTAAGTCCGCCGAGGACCATATTTAGTATTCAAACAAAGACAAAACAAAAAGAGATCGAATAGAAAACTTGTGCAAATACTCGGTGATACCAAGAAAATACTATAACCATATATTTCCAAAAAGGTATACATATCTCAAGTCACCTTTGTAGCCTTCATTAAAAGACTTAAGTGATTTTGTTAAAATTTCAAGAATATTCACTAAGCCTCTGGTGAATCATCATTAATTACTGGTAATGTCGGAAGATTAAAAAAACAAATACGACTTGAAAGGACAATGTTGTGACTAGAACACATGCCTGCATAGTATTCGAGAGCATTTGGCAGAAAAAAAAAATGGTGTAGCGTTCGTAAATATCTTTGGGCTCGCATTTAAAGTATGATATTCTTAGAAGGGTGGTTATTAGTCGAGGTTCACCATATTTTCTTTTCATGGTTTTAACTTCAACGGGCAGGGTTCTCGGTTCTTGTTACCTTTTGAGTTCAAAGGGTAGGCTTGTTTATAAAGTATGACTTTCTTAGAGGGGTGGTCCTCATAACGTTTTTTCATGATATTGACTTCAACGGGTAGGGTTCTAAAAGAGTTATTTTCCGTTAGGTTTGTTACTTTCTCGCTACATCATCACATGGTAGAAATTCTCGAGACCCTCTTTTGCTTTGTTTTGCTTTGCCTGAGGTGCACTTGTCCATGGCATTGTTCCATATCGGGAACCTAGCAGAATTTCTGTCAAGATTTTTTAACATTTCGCAGGAATTTATAGGTAATAACCCCTGGCTCCGAGGTAGGTAGAGAGCCACTGTGAAAGTTTAGTGTCTTGCTTAAGAATGCTAAAAAGATCTCTAAACAGAGCTTGTTTTTGAACCCATCGGCATAGTCCACAGTACTAATAGGCTACCGACGCACAGGTGAATTTTTACCCCAGACTTTTGTGGCCAGAGTGATACCCAAGAGGCTTGCAATACTGGATTTGCGCTTAAATACCATTGGTCCTTTTTGTTAATTAGGCAGTAGTTGGAAAACGAAATAGCCGGTCGCGCGAGACAGATACTATTCGGCGAGCGAAGAAATTCAAACACGACTAGCAAGTTGTGGCCGTTGATAAACCTGTTAAGACACTTTGCTATCAAGATACCTCAGGTCCCTTAGGAACCTAACGTGTACCAGAGAACTGCCACAGGAATTTGAGGGAAAGAAGAGGTTTTAGATTTCCTTCACTACTGAAATTCAGCTGGAACCATATAAATTCGCGGTGGCTCCGGAGCAGATCATTTTGAATACAGGGTCCTTTAATGCTATCACCACATTCCTCGTACTCCCTTGCAGTGAGCAAAAAGCTGCTGTTATACTTTATGACTATATTATGAAATATATAGAGCATAAGAAACTCTTTGTGAAAGTATTGCTTGGAGTCAAAAATAATCTTGCCAGTATTCTTGCTTAGAGCAAGTAATGCAGTCTTCGGGGTAAAATAACGTAATGGATTTACTGCATTGAAGGTACAAAGGCATTGTTCCAATTATAAATTTGTCATCCAGTGGACTTTGTTTAAGTTTTCCGTATCGCTCACAACACCTAATCTTTCAGATTCTCATGAAGAATCAACTAGCACGGTTTTTAAAATGTTATTTTTTTATAAGGAAGATATGATGTCTCTCTTTCCTTAGCCTCAAAAGCGCACTACTATTCGAGGAGTTTCAGAATATGTTACACAAATGTACAATTTGCCTCTTTATCGCGGCAGTTTTCATTAAGGTTTGTCACATACAATTTTACTCTTTTGCGGCTTGTTCCTCATTATTTTGTCTGTTAGTCGGCAGCTGTGTTTGTTCATGCGATCTCGACCCTAATGAGCTTACTGACAAACCCCATCAAGCATCATAACTTTTATTTATTCTTACACCACAGTCGAACTTGAATTGAGTAATTACCCACAGGTATGGCGTAGTGACCACTTAATACAGGTTCCTCAGATACACTGCGCCGCTTTATGCCATGACTGACCACTAAATGTACAGAATGTCGCTCAAAAATACTATTTAATCTGATTTTGGGAGATAAACTAAGATAAAAAATTACTTGAAATATTATTCTTAGTTATATCGGAGTGGTTCCGTTCGATATTGGTGGAAATAATAAAAATAGGCTTTTTGGATTCAGTTTAGGGTGACCGCGACCGCTTAATAAAGGTGAAAATATAGTAATAGAGGGAGAGTAAATTCGAAACTTTGACAACTGACCGCTTAATACGGTGCCGCTTAATTTAAGTTCAACTGCATGTATGTGACACTTGAAATGTCCCTCGAAATCATGGACCCAATTCTATTAAGCGTTTACTGATCATGGCTTCTTCTTTTCTGCAGCTTGTTTAATATTTGTTTGTTGCATTTGTTGTACGTCGGAAGTTACCTTTTTGCATTATACTATGTGAAAACTAGGGAGCTAAAACACTGCAGTTTCGCCACGTCCATCGTGCACTTTTAAGCGACTAATACAATTTTATTTGTAAATAAAAGCAATTCAAGGGAATGCCTCTGGAGGGAGGTACCCAAGAAAGACAAAAAACTCAGGAGTTTCCCTACAATATCAAGAGGAAGAAGAAGACACCATCTACCAACAAAAAATGGAAAAAACAGCCATTTCATGGGCAAATTAAGTCCTTTATCTCGAGGCCGGTTTCAATCACTTTTCCGTAGGCAGTTGCTAATGATGCAACAGGCAGCTGTGTCTCAAGGAGAAACTTAAAACATGCACAGAGCCGGCGGTAAGAGATCCTACAGGTGGCGGTACATCGATGGTAATTAATTTTCATTAAAGTTCCTGCGGATGGTTTATTAAATGTTTCCCTGGCTTGTAGTTGCTAAACGTGTTCTCGAAATCACTGAAATAACCTGGCTTGTAGTTGCTAAATGTGTTCTCGAAATCACTGAAATAAAAATTTCTATCACTGTCCATAGATAATGTCCATAGAGTCTGCAACAAACCTCTGACTCGCGAAACTCTGCCGAGCAAACTCAGTTGGAAGTGAGGAGTTGCGGGCAGTGATTGGTCTTGAAGTTTCGGTAGTAAATGTATCGACATCCGATCTAGGCATTGCGCATTAATACAAACACCCTTTTTGCCATAAAACAATATGATGAGCGCTTGGATTTAAACTAGATTAAGACTAGTCTGTTCAACATGTACAGCTAGTGACCAAAGCGTACAGTGAAAAAAATGCAAAGGTAGAAAGGTCGGGTTTAAAACTGAGTTAAAACGGGGTTAACCGAACCGACCCAACTTTCCTCTTTTTGTTTGGTCCTTGCTTACTGTGTGTCTCTTCTAATGACAACACCTGTGACAGACACATTGATAACTAGTATTCATATCTATAATACATGAATTCTGGAAAATTATATTCAATTTTTCAGGTAGAGCTCTCATCATAATTAGTCAATTTGATATCAGTGGAAACGGGATGATACTTTAGTAAGTTCAGGAGAAGTTTCTTACAAAAGCCCGATGGTAAAGGAACCGAAATCGTCGTGATTTTTTTCAACGGTTTGCTAATGGTGAAAGAAGACTGAACACAATTACGTTTACAGGTACCGTGGCTCGATGCCATAATTTCGTCGTTAAAAGTCCCCGACTTCATTTCAGTTTCGCGGTCAAATGCTCCACCATCTGAGCACCAGGTGCTCCTTCAGGGCAGGTCACATGCTGCTTTCACATTTTGAACCTGTACTGAAGTTCAAGGTGGCAAGGCCTTTGTCACCAGAAGAGAAGAATCATCGCGAGATAATGGTCATTACTTACCGCCTGGGGTGGGAAGGAGGAAATCGGAGAATCGTTTTGGTTGTGTCGTATTACAATTTTCCTCGATTCCCTGCTTAGGATCTGAATTGGCCGTCAACAGTCCCCTCTCTATGTTCTTCCCCCCTTCATTTCCCCTAAAACCGTAAGGAGGAAATCGGAGAATCGTTTTGGTTGTGTTGTACTGTTCTTCCCCCTTCATTTCCCCTAAAACCGTGTGATCCCCCCCTCAAAATCCTCCGACAAAATGTCCCTTTCCCCCACCACCATGCTCCCGTGGGCGATGAATAATGAGTGGCGGTGCCCTTCAAACATATGACAACTCTCTTGTAAATCTGTTGATACCGTTAAACCGCACGTTGAACTCAAAAGGCCAATAGGAATTCACCATTTACGCACTCACTCGTACCTTACCCCTTTGACCCCTCAGGGTGATAAGCGTACAATTTTCCTCGATTCCCTGCCTAGGATCTGAATTGGCCGTCAACAGTTCCCTCTCTATGTTCTTTCCCCGTTCATTTCCCCTAAAACCGTGTGATCCCCCCCTCAAAATCCTCCAACAAAATCTCCCTTTCCCCCACCACCATGCTCCCGTGGGCGATGAATAATGAGTGAGAAAAAAGCCAAATGGTGTTAATGGTGACGTCATCTATGTTCCAATAGATCATGAGTAGAACCAATCAAAATGCCTGTATAATTTTGCTTACCATGTAAATCACAACAGTGATGATCATTTGCGATACTGAAAAGAGATGATGATATTATGCGGACGAATATCGTTTTATCAAATAATGTTCATTCTGCCCTTTCACGCGTACGTGCATGATTGCGTCGTGTATAAACCTATGGCACTCACTCATTAAATGAACGTATGGTCTGTAAAGCAGCCGGTAACGATTATTTCAAAACTTCAGCGTCAAGCGAATGAAATTCCTACATTATACAGCAGTACTGAGTCCGATGGAAAACATGCACGCTAATAACTCATATTTTGTTGATTTACTTGAGAGACATTTTACAACCTTGAGTTGTGGGTTTTTTCTTTGGTTAAGAAAACGTGACAGCATTCGTCGTCAATCGTGTTGAGATTTCATGTCTATTGCTGTTAACTGTGCTCGGAAAACGTCACAGTTAGTCAATCTGTTTAGTTGCTCAGTTTACCCCTGGTTCGAAAAACAACCTCAAGTATTGTTCATACGCTATTCTGAAATATAAAAACGTTACAAAAAGAGCTTTACGGTGATCTGGCGAAATCTATTATGATACATTAAATATACACTACAGTTGCTGCCAAAGACGAAGTCGTCAAGGACATTTTCTTTCGACACATCCCTTTCCTTGGTCTTCGTACTCTTGTTTTGATATCCACATTTGCTGAAATGAGCCCTGGAAAAAAAAGAAATAAAAAAGGAGGAAATTTGGTAAAAGAAGTTTCTTCCAATATATATGTCATTCAGATTAGTATCTAGAGCGAAAAGAGTATTTGTATCCTCAATAACGAACACATAAGCTCAAAGTTTGCTTTATCATTATTTACCAGTGATGCGAGAATAGAACCGCCTATCCATGGGTTAAATCGTCTTTCCGTGGGCGCACTAGATATCAGCTTTAATCTCATGCTCTGGAGAAGACAAAACAATAATCAAGAGGTTTTATAAATGGCATACATCGAAGTAAAGTCGTGAGGAAAGATTAAATTTTCTCCTTCCTCGTTACCAAGGACAATCAATCGAACAACTAACATACATATGTCAAGATGGAAGTGTAACGGGCTCTCTCTTGATGATCACTCCTTTAAAAACGACAAGCTATCTTTTAAACGATTTTTCGCGGTGGAATGCCGTCATTTTGTGGCCAGAAACTCGTGGATTCCTTTCTCTTTAAAAAACATTGATGTTCTTGAAGACTAAAACAATTCAAAACATGTAACAGAACGATCTAACATCTTGGCTTTTACGACAACTTTGAGGCTTTGTTTGAATGAACTGATTACATGTGCAGGCTTAGGAAGGGAAAAGTGTTTAAGTTTGACTTATGCCATTCCATTATAATTAACAATATGATTATTAGGATAATGATTATCAATTCTATCATTTGTATTTTTATTATCGTTTCTCACTATTCTCAAACCTTATGCTATTCAATTATTATTAGCAATTTGATTATCATTTCAATGATAATGAAGATGATGACCATCATCATTATAATCACTATCATCATTATTACTTTTATTACAATTTCTAATTTTTCTCGAGCAATAGACTCATAGTTCCATGCGGTTTTCGTCTTTCTGACGAATTCTTTAAACTGACCACCTCTTTGAGTGACTCCTTTTCCCTGCAAATTGGGTGATGCCCTGAGAGCGAGTTGACGGTAGAAAACATCAGGTGCAAGTAAAGTTACATCAGGATGTTGAACAAATCCGTTCAGCAAAAGTAGAGCTACTTAATTACAGAACTCATGACTGACTGTTTGATACTCACTGGTGGTGTTTTAGAAAGAAGCTCTCGATTCAGTCTTTCATTAAAACCTTGTAACAGAGTATTTCCGCCCGTGACGATAACAGATCCAAACAAACCCTGGTCAAAACAAAAGGTACATTACGTTCAATTTCATGTAAAACAAAGAAGCTTGATAAATTACAAATCAACCTGTAGCTTTTAAAACGCGTGTTCTCCCTGTTGTGGGTGGATATATCTCTACACAAATCAGTCATAATTCTTCGTGTTATTGAGGGGAAACTGAAATCAAGAGAAGTGCATACTACAAAGGGAACTAACATCCCCACGATTCAAATGCTACATTGCAAGCTTTTGCAATGAAGTGAACTGTCGATTGACTGTGCGTCCCTATCTCTAGTGCGCTTGTTTACGTGCTTATACACTTTATCTATGACTAACCTACAGGTACAGTTTAACTTGCATTTCCACGCCTTTCACTCTGTTAGAATAACGACTTATAAATAATCAAACCGTTCGAAACACTTACAGCTCTTATATCTATGTCTGTCATTCCTACACTTGTGGTGACCACTTGTGTGACACCAATAGCTGTGCTTCCCTCAATACCCTGAAGAAGCATAATGATAAAATTACAATTTCATTAACTGCGTCTATACATACTTGCTGGCAGGTTCAAAGAAAGCTCTCCTATAACTGTCTTTCACGTCTCTTGAGATAGTAAGGCAATACAATTGAATCTAACGATACGAACACCTCTCACTCATTTTTAACTGAATCGACGATTCTCATAATTGTCTCCACCTCTTTTTCAAATACAAAAAAGTGGAGGCAATTATTCTTGGAAGTTCCCATGGAAACTCCGGGGCTTAAAATTCTTAATATTCTCCAGAGTCAGATGGACAAATAGGCGACTGTCGCGGCAGCTTTAGTAGCCAAACATTTTCTCGATTCACCATAGTGACGACAGTACCCCCAATTAAACTGGAGCACTGACTAAATGTGGGAAGTTGCGCAGATTTTGTGTACGGTAATCGACGCTCACCCGATTTATACTTCAGAGGTTTCTACAGTAGTAAGTTTTGTTCATCTGGCTTATCGTTAAGGAACAGCAGAAGAACTAACCTTGACATTTGAGGGATCAAAGAGTCCTTCACAAATCTTAAATCTCTCCACACCAAATGTGTTGTTATAACCATTTGGAAATTCGTAAACCACTCCAGGAATATTGCCAAGAATGCTTTTAAGTGGTAAATAAACAAACAAACAAATTAATTGATTTAGATTTTAAGAAAATAAAAATATCAAATAAAATGTGATATACTCTAAAACGAATTTAGAGACAACAAAAAAAATTTCATTTATACTTTTGCACGGAGGATTCGAGGAAAGAGTGAACTATAGAACTAAAGAGAGTGGGAAAAAGTTGGAACAAAGGGACGAGAAGATGAAAAAGAGAGAGAGAACAAAGAAACAAACGGATGAATCGGAGGGTAGAAGAAACAAGGGACCAAATGGACGAAAGAAACAAATGGATGAAGGAAACGGACCAACGGCCGAACAGACAATTGAACGAACGAAGGACGAACCACGAACGATAGACGACCAGACGGACGAACGAACAAACGGACGAGCGAACTTCAATCGAACGAACTGGAACGAATGGACAACGGAAGGCAGGAACAAAGGAACGGAGGAACGGAGGAACGGAGGAACGGAGGAACGGAGGAACGGAGGAACGGAGGAACGGAGGAACGGAGGAACGGAGGAACGGAGGAACGGAGGCACTGAGAAACGGAGAAACGGTAGAACGGTGGAACGGAGGAACGGAGGAACAAAGCAACGAAGCAACGTAGCAACGAAGCAACGAAGCAACGAAGCAACGAAGCAACGAAGCAACGAAGCAACGAAGCAACGAAGCAACGAAGCAACGAAGCAACGAAGCAACGAAGCAACGAAGCAACGAAGCAACGAAGCAACGAAACAACGAAGCAACGAAGCAACGAAGCAACGAAACAACGAAGCAACGAAGCAACGAAGCAACGAAGCAACGAAGCAACGAAGCAACGAAGCAACGAAGCAACGAAGCAACGAAGCAACGAAGCAACGAAGCAACGAAGCAACGAAGCAACGAAGCAACGAAGCAACGAAGCAACGAAGCAACGAAGCAACGAAGCAACGAAGCAACGAAGCAACGAAGCAACGAAGCAACGAAGCAACGAAGCAACGAAGCAACGAAAAGAATGAAGCAACGTGGGAACGAAACAACGAAGGAACTCATAATTGTTTAGTGACATTTGGGTATACTAGAAGGTTCACCTTTCATCATAGGGACCATCGGATACTTGGAGCACACTCGCCTGGAAATCTTGTAAGGTTTCCTGGGAAGAAAAGTAAAAATGAATTTATACGCATGGATTACAGCAACCACTCCTTTCAACCGCATAGAGCTAAATGCTAAATCTAAACAAACTTTTAAAATTTTTACTCAAAAAATACTTCCATATGTCCTTTTTCTTTACATTTTCGAAGTATTTAGAGTGAACAATGCTGTTTTTAAAATGTCAGCTGGGACTAAAGATTACCTTAATAATTCCATAAATCATATCAATGTAAAGAGCGTTGAGGCCAGAAAACGCACTAACTGAGAATTTCTGTCTTATCATTGTTAATATAATGGGTTACTGTCATCACATTAGTATAAATTTTCATATACTTAAATAATATCTACCACTTACAGTAACCATGTGTCTGTGAAATGATTTCGTAAGTGGTGGAATATTGTTCTTCTTGGTGAAAATAGCAGGCCCACCTTCTTTGGAGGCTTCCTAAATAAACATCAGAAAGAGCATATCCCATAAAATAATTAAACATACTTGGTTGCTAGAATAAAAGGAGTTTTTATTCAACTGTACTAACAAATACCTCAAACAAAATTCTATTTTATTGAAATTTGCAGCATTTGGAAGTTGTTCTCATTACCAAAGAGGAAAAAAATTTTGAATGACCTCCAAAACCTTTAAGGGGTTTTTCCATAAGTGCCTTCAAATGGTGTAAAAGGTGTCTGTGTTGTAAGGTGAAACACAAACACCAGAGCTTGCTTGCAGGCTAAACAAACTCCAGTGAGAAATCTCATGAGTGGGTGTAGACTGCCTGTAACCACTGGCTTTTATTAAAACACCTGACTTTTGCCCTCAAAATAAAAAGCCTTCTAGTCACGTAAAGCTCCATAATTAACTAAGTTACTCCTTTACCTTACTAGCAATGAGGTAAGGCGGGACAATTTCAATATTCTGTTCTTCAAACATTTGTCGACACTGAGCAGTGATGAAGTCCCCAGCTAAGGGAGACTTGACAATTGCTTGTTGAAGAACATATCCATCATGAACAGGCACAGCACTGGTCTGTGTTGCTCCAGAATCTATAACTAGTCCAGTGGATCTACCATTTGCAAATGCTGTGAGCACTGCACTTTTGCACAGAAAGAATGCTGGGATATTATATTTTTCAAACATCAGTTCTGTAAGTTTCTCTCTCTTTGCACGTACATTCCACTGAGAAAAAAAAAAATGAAGCCAGGAAGAAATAATGTTGGTATAGTACTGAAGTTAAACATTAAAATTTGGTAACTTTTTCTTATGTAGAGTTAACAACTGAAATGCAAACAATAAATGACTGCTTTTATAGTAACTCTGAACAAATTGGTGCAATAATCCAAGGGTATGATATACTGTTAGTGCTCTGTTCAGCCACTCCCTCTCTTACAAACCTAACCACACCCTCACCCCCCAAAACATCTGATATGTTATTTATAATTCAACTGCTTGATATAATGCCCATTTCTTAAAAGGCAGGAAAAGCAAAGAAGATAGAGAAGCGTTCCATACGCAGCTGACGGTTAAATACTCAGGATATTTCACTCTAAAAAATAACCAACAGTCCAAATATCGCATGATATTTGTACTAAACTCACAGGTTGTTTGTACGCTACTTAGTTTACATGTAGTTGGATAATAATTGTAGGTTCCATTTAAAATGAGAGGTTTCAATAAAAAGAAATGCACTCCTTCTATGGATGTCATTTAATCTGAGAGACAATTCACATCATATAAAACAAGTTGCAAATTGAGCCCTCAATAACACAATATCTTTATTAGGACTCCTCAATGGGAATCTTCCAGCTTGCTTATTACACCGATGAGTCTACCCCCACCACTCCATCATAGATAAGCCTCCACTCTCTAAAAGCCCTAAAAATTTAGAAGCCACCCCCCAACCCTTAAGGTCTTAATTAAAACAGTACTTTGTCAATGAATCCCTTAACTTCATGTACAAAGTGACTTCAGTTTTACAACCAAAACCATTTGGTACATACATATATCACCAATACCAAAATGTACACAGCAATCTGACTTACTGAAGCTTCTGACATAACCACAGGGTGAAGAGCTGATTCAGACTTGATGTCCTTCGCATACATATAGTCCAGCAGTTTCTCAAATGTATCCCAATCTTCAACTGCATTTGACAAAATAATCAATTAAAAACAAAAAAATACATAAATAAATAAACAGAAAACATTCATGAGGTGACCCAAACAGAAGCTCTTAAAATCCCACCTTCAAGCTAGCTCATATCAGACAGATATCAACAACAGGGCCAATAATCACCCACATTGGTGATTTTCTCAAGAGGCCATTTTACAGTTGTGTACTTAGTTGCCAAGCCTTTAATTTGGAGTGAGGCTGAAGGTGATCTTGTTGTGATAGAGACCAGTATCTAGTAAGCATGATAACAAAGTAACTTATTTTAAAAGCAGAAATATTTGTATATTGTTACAAGGTCACCCTTAGTCTCACTTCTGTTCAAAGGCTTAGCAACAAAGCATGCAACTGTAAGATGGACTATTGTGTAAAACTACTGTCTCTTCTTTGTACTTACTCATTCCATCCTTAACTGGATTAATAATTTCCATGTTCTCTTTAGGAAGATGGATGTAATTGGTGTCGATGTAGTATTTTTTCTCTGGAAGTTTTGGCTTCTCTGCAAGAAGAGTAACAGAAATAAAACAAATTAAAGTAAACTTTAACAAAAGATACAACCACAATTGAAGAGGAGAAAATTTTGGAAAGAGAGTTTCTGGCTGGTTGGTTTGTATTGGGAAAAACTGACTGAGGTCTTGGGATGGTCCAAACTAGAAGCTCAGTGTATCTCTGGACAGAGAGCACACTTTTTTTCCCCACCTCAGACTAACCTGTGCCCCAACATAACAAATTTCTTTGAGGTAAAATTATTTGCAGATGCATTTGTTTTCATAATAGTCACAATGTTGTAAACAATGCAGACCAGTTTCAATTGACATTAGGTTTATTCACAGCACAATGTTGTTTTTTAACTTAAGTTGATAAAACCATAGAGTTTACAGTACATTAACAGGCATAAACATGTTTTGGGCCTGACTCTGAATAATTTCAGCCTGAGCTGCTAGGTGAGGATTAAAATGACTCTGAGAAGGGCCTTGAACATTTTATGCCCAAGAACAAAGACTGTAATAATATTATTATCACTTTGGAGGGCATTGAGAAACTGGAAAAAATATAGAGACAAAAACAGTCTGAACTATCATGCCAGCGTGTGAACAACCAAAATTTCCATTACGCACACAAAATGTGCCACAATACCCAACTAAGTGATAATAATAATTATTAATCCTTTAACTCTCAAGATCTGATTGTTATTTCTCCCCTCTGGGTGCTACAAATTTCCTTGTAAATTGGCTACAAGATTTTGTTGTTTGATCCAGGTAATATCTTGTAACTGATGAGTTTGAGTATTCTCGCTACCTGTTTGCTGGATAATGTATGGATATTATAGGGAGAAGTTACATGTTAATCACTTCTGGAAGTTAAAGGGTCAACAAACACCTTCAGGAGGAGCATCAGTTTCCATAATTTCATCTTTGACTTCCTCTTCTAAGGTTCCTACATGTGTTGGGATGTCATACTTTAACAAAAAGAAAATAAGACATTGGAACATCAAAATGACACTCTTTCTTAGTGTGTTATGTACACATACATGTTGCTAACTAAATAGATCGTCAAAAGGAAGGGATGGACTTCCAAGAGATAACAACATCAGGCAAACATGACATGATGCTGCATCAATCATGTAGCAACTTTGAAGGGTGAAAAATTGAGAACAAATAATTATAAAATGTTCAGAGAAATGTGCATGCTGTGATTGGTCAGAACGAGTTCATTATATTTCTATAAAGCACACACCTTACATCACACGAATGCACTGTTGAGATATACACACAGCCTATGTCATCGTTATGAGCATGCACAATTTGTGGTACACTTTTTACAAGAAATAAAAAACTTGTTCCTTGAGCACTGTTGAGTTATATAAGCACCTGGTAATTTTTAAGAAAACTCGAGAAGTGCAAGAAGCACTCACCTTAGGCTCATGCTTCTCCACACTTCTCTTTTGTTCTTAAAAAATCCCACATGCTTAAATAACTCAACAATGCATTGAGCACATTTTTTATTTCTTTAATACAGTGTTTCCTTGAACAAGCACCTAGGCACTTATTTAAAATTTTGGCTGAAAGGAGGGGGCATTTACCGGAAAGAGGGCACTTAATTAGTGGGAAGGAGGGACACTTGCTAAGAAATTACTACCCTGAACTGATTCTGCTCCAGTTGAGGCTTAAAAAGTTATAAATAAAGTGGCAATAGAAATGGGTTTCCCATTCTCAGAGACTCAGGGCTGTCAGTTGATGACTAGAAATTGCCTGATGGCCCCTGGGTCTCAAAGAAAGAGAATTTCCTTGTATCCCTACTAGGTGAGGTGAGGGAGGAAGAGCACTTATTTGAGGAGGTGCGTGTTTGATGTTGTGACCTGAGGGATGGGCACTTATATGGGGGAGAGCACTTATGAAAGGGAGAGCGCTTATTCCAGGAAGTACAGTAATCAAACTGTTGAGAAGACAAAGAGCCAATTAAGTAAAGTATCAAATCAAACGGTAGATACAACACAATCTATGATTCAAATCCCAAGATCTAATTGTCAATTCTCTCTTATATAATTAACACTTTCCTTTGTGTGTCGGTTGAGAGAATTTGATGTTGCATCAAGATAACACTCTGGTTGATAGGTTTGGTTATTCTCATCACCTGATTACTCCTTTATATATGTGATCGTTGTAAAGAGAAGAAACATGACGATCATATCTGGAATTGTAACCTTATTAATGAACATTAATCAAGTACAAACTTGCGATCACACATCTACAAAGCTAAGTTACTCCATGGATAGCTTATAATATGTAATGAATTGCTGCATATTCTTGGCAAACCAGGGAAAATAGTCGCTAGAATTCTGACTATAACTCAAAAATTATGTTACCTTAGGACAATCTTCACCAGCATAACCGGCCCGAACTGAATGGGCGCCAATGTCGAACACGATCGCGCCAACTTCGTCTGAAAACGAAAGAGTTTTTCTCAGACCAGCAAAATTGAAATATGCAAGAATTAGTCCAAAATATTACAAACATTACCTCCTCCGTAAACTCCGCCACTCATTTTAATCTGTAGTTTAAGTTTGAAGAAAAACCAGTAAAGTTTGTTATTGATCCACTTTAGAAGAGGAACTGGTCAAGAAACTAACAATCAAGCACGTGTGCGAGTACTCGTTCGTTACTGGTCAGCGTTAAAATCAAAGATGGTGGACGAAGTGAACGACAATCGTACGTTTTTTTGCACCTAAATATTCCACGATATTAGAGATTTTCAATCCGTAAAATGTCGCTAAAAGATCTTTTCTCCAAAGCTCCATCTCCACCTCCTCTGAGTGAAGAGCCATGGCCCCAACCTGTTCCTTCTAGTTCAAATTCTTCGAGTAACTGTCACTGCATGTCACCTTTGTATTCAGCTACCGCTAGACCAACTGTAGACGAGTTTCTGCGAACAAATTATTTGATGATTCCTGAATTTTTGCAGCAAGTGAATCGAGCAAAGATAGCAGCAAACAAGGGAGGCGTTGGTCAAAGTGTGGTATTCGAAGAAAGTACCTCTCTCCAAGGAACTGTTCATCGAAGGAAAATCATTTCTTTTGATTCGCTAACACGGGACATCAACAGCGAAAACACAGAGAAGAAAGAAGATGGAATCAAAGAAATTAAAGGATGTGACTCAAATGTTAAACGTGGAGCCAGTGGAGCAAAAAGTATAGATGTGAGTATTGATACTACTGCTTCACAAAATCAGGCAAGTGTTCGGGACATTGTGGTGCCTCCTCTACTTAAACCAAAACCTAGGGTCAAAAAAGTGATGAAGGGAGGAACTCTAGTTACAATACCAGCCCCTCAGATCAGAAAGAGACCTCCCCAAGGGTTTACTGCGAATGATGAAAACAACGTTGAATCGGGAGTACTTTCAGAACAGAGCGAGGGTGGAAAATCTGTCGTTGAAGCATGTCTGCTAGAGAGAACCCAGAATAAGATTGATCAGTCCTGTAAAGATGATCCAAGTAACAATCAGCTGGCCACAGGCAAGCATGACTTGGTGACACCTACACATGGATCGAAGGACATACCTGGGGAAGTTTCCTCTCATCAAAGAGAAGTGTCAGGCTCTGAAATTGTACCCAAAAAATGTCAAGAAACACAGGTTCTTGTAAGTTTCATTGACAATAATGTACCGCAAGACGATAAGAATAACACGGATGAAAACTCTGATTTTGGTGAAAATAGATCCTTTAACACTATGGCCTTACTGGAAAAAGACAGCACAAATCCTAAGGAGATTGTGGATAAGAGGTCTGAGGAAACACCCACTGGACCCATGCAGGAGTCGATCAAGGCAAAGTCGAACGATGAATTTAAAGGGAATATTCCATTAGAGGAATCCGAAGCACTCAGCTCTGAAGACACCAATTTGAGTGAAAATCAGGGTGAGTATTTCAGTGATTATCAGACATTGGACATAGACTTAGTTAGAGACCTGAAAGAGAAGCACATCAGCAAAAACACTGATGGGAGTACAACGAGAGTTCTTGAGCCGTTAAGGCCTGGTTCTATTCTAGCTCAGCTTAAAAGTCCTCAAAGCTCTAGCACTAAAAAACAAGAGGAGCTGTCAAGTGATCTGCCAAAAGCTACAGGAAGTTCCATGGCAAAACAAAGCTCTGAAAAGCTTAATATGTCAGATGAAGAGCACAGTGAGAAGATCAAACAGAATGAAAATTCCCATCAAAATCAACTTTCCAGTGACGAGAAAAGCCAACTTACAGAAATCATTCATGGGGACAAGGAGGTTACGGGAAGAACCAGGGAGAGCTGTGCTAAGGGTATAGATAGAAACGCTGAGGAGTGTTGTATAGAGAATTCTGATGCAGGTAACCATGACACTGGTGTTTTCAACGAGAGTGCTGATGTTAAGAAAGATTGCACTGGCTCTATTGACAGTATCAATAGTGATCATAATGCTAATGATAACGACGACCAAGAAAACGGCGATGACGACTACGATAAAGATGATGATGACGACGGCAATGATAATACTAAGTCTGTTGATAAAGGAGACAGTGTAGCAGATGACGGCGGGGACGAGTACGCTGAGCTTGTGATGGTGGAGTCAACATCAGACGAGGATGAAGAAGAATATGATAACTTTCTTATTGATGAGAATGATTCCGATGGAGAAGAGAGTAAGGTGAAAAGTGATTATGAAGCTGAGGATATGGATCTTGACTCTGACAATGAAGGAGATACTGGCGGAATATCATTTCATCAAGATACTACGATTGGACAAAGGGTGAAATACTCAAGGGGCAGGCAGAAGGATAATAAACGAACAGCGAGGAATCGAAAAAAGAAGTTTCGCAAAAAGAAGAGGGCTAAGAGACAAAACCAGGTTTGTATCAAAAGAAAACACTCTTTTTGTTTGGAATAGAGCACTGTTAGAATTATTCAGTAGCGGTCAGAAAAAGCAACCACTGTGGCAGAAAAGATGAAATGTCTCTTATTACTTACCAATAGCAAAGAAACCTTGAAGCACATAAATCTTTTGTCTCCAAGCTTGTTCCCAGGATCCCCTCTTATTTTCCCTGGTCAAGTCTCTGCGTGAATTTTGTTGAATGTGTTTACTTTTATAGAGACTTTTAGAGAAAAAGAAATGTGGGCCAGTCTCAGGACATAAATCGACGGATACTCCAGAGAAACATTCTGAGATCAAGACATTACCAGTGAACAATCCACCCCGGGAAAAATCAGCGGAACCTGGATCACTGTTATCGATGGTGTCTTCTTATTCTGTGGATCTTACAGTGGCAGCCAGTGAAAAGGTTTGTATCCTTATCCTTGTCTTAGCATGGGAATTTAGTTTCCCCCTACTACCGTCCTGTCAACCATTTTTGTACTTTTGTTCGATGTATGGTTACGAACTGTGATTAAAGATTAAAGATTAAAGATTAAAGATCCCCTAAAGCTGGTCAGCACAACACGGTAGTCAAACATCGAGTATGCGCGGGGAGATGAATCTCGGCTGGCCGCGCGCCAATTTCTCGCCCAAAGAAAACTTAAGAAATATGAAAATAAATTTAAAAAAACCGAAACTTTCATAGAGTTTTGTAAAATAAGGTAACGTACCAAAAAGAGAAAACTTGAGACTTGTCGAATGCAAAGTTTATTTTATCATGGTATACTGTTAATTTTCCAATTTGCTGTAGGTTTTATGTAAAAATATACGCTTTTGAAATAACGTGACTTACTGGCTTTTGTGGTTGTTTATAATTGATTTACTCTTTCACTTATAAATTTACCTATTCATCTACACAGTGATTAAGTTATTTATTGACTGTACTGATTGCTAATGGATATATCGATCCAACTATTTGACAGCTGTTGAAACGTAAGACTCGAGGTGGACAACACGCAAAGAAGTTGAAGAAAGCAAAAAGAACAGCGGAAGCTTTGGAGAGAAAACGGAGTGGAGAACCGCCACCTCGAACAAAACCAGTTTATAAAGAGCTCCTCAGACCAATCTGCTCATTTTACATTCAAGGAAAATGCAGGAAGGTACAGTGAGAGGTGCACAACAATAGCTGGTGTTAGTAATTCTCATACTTAACCCTTTAAATCCTAACATCAGTATGCAAATTCTCCATACTGTTCCGTATACATGTCCCAAGGTGCTGACAAGGAGAATGTTTTTAACAAGCAATAGGTTCTTTAGTTGCTGATCATTTCCTTCATTCTCCTAACCTTGATGTTTGATTCAGGAGTGATATTTTGATGAGAAATTAGATGCCAGTCACTATCAGCGGTCACAGGGTTAACCTCTGAATGAGAATTAAGGAATTGACCGTTAAATAAAATTTTGGAATAATAATAATTTATTAATAATCTACATGAAAAAATACGAGATAGCTTATCATAACTATGCAGTAGCAAAGCGCACGCATTAAGTGCAAAAATAATTTATTCAAACCCTGCAAGTGACATTGTGTGTTCGGTCAAAACAACTGCGTACGGTCAAAACAATAATATACAATGGTATTTTCACATCTTTAGGGCGCAAAAAAGTTCAAAGTCCGGCTAAACAGTTCAAGGAATTGTTCAGTCTGGTTTGTTACTTCTTTGCACTGAATTAACCCTCTTCTGCATTGAATTACCTGAAAACTGCATTTATCTTAACCAATCAGAACTGAGTAATTTTTTCATGTATCTTATTAAGATTGTAAACGTTCATGGCCCCGCTTTTGAGAAATTCGATGAAATACTGATTACTTTGTCCACAAAATAAAATTTGGGGGAAAAAAACGCTCAAATCATAACGGATTAAAATTGTTACGATACATTCCTATCTTAAAAGGTTGCATTGACCAAATGGGTTGATCGTTTTTTCTACCTTGCGTTGCGAAAAAATTGTTTAGTCAGGTTGGTGTTGATCCAGGGCTATTACAGCCCCGTGAAAACTGAAAAGTCGTAGAATTTTCTGACTTCGAAAGAGCGTGAACACTGCCCTCGTTTGAGAACAATAATTCGAAAGAATGACGATACTTTATATGTACTGTGTGTCTATTTATGCATACTTAATAGACTATTCCCCCAATGGGGCTTTTCAGGGCCAAAGCGAATGAAAAAAGTGTTTAAAAATCCCGATTAGCAGGAGGCTTAGCAGTCTGATATCCACAAAGCGCATTGTCGTACAATGCGATTTGCATAATGCATAGGTGTTGAACAATAAGACAATCTCATGTTCCGTTTTGTTTTATTTTTTTTACCCTAAAGGGCAGTGAGTGCTCTTTCCGTCATGACAGATCAGCTCTAGTGAAGAAGAAGGCGATCTGTAGGTTCTACGTGCTTTCCGCTGACAATTGCCAGTTGGGAGATGACTGTGCTTTTATGCACAATATCCTTTTCAAAAGTTACTGCCTCCTTCCTTTGAAATTCAAGGGAATGTTATAGTTAGAATTTATATCTAACGCGAAACGGGTACTGAAAAAAGGAAGGAAGAAAGAGACGAACGCGAATTTAAGAAACGAAAGGTGACTGCGTTCAGTTCTGGCAATAGAGCATTGAAATTTTCTCAATTTTCTGGTGTTAAAAGGTTAAAACTGTAAAAAACAGTGCTTCATTTTGTACTCTTTACACGTAGGAAAAGTGAGAAAACTTAAAATTTATGCTGAGAAGTAGCAGTTTCGTCAAACTTGTTGATGTTGTTTTATATCGTTTTAGCCGTTTGTGTTTTTTTTATTTTTCTTCGTGTGGATTCCTTAACCTGCCTTACGTTCATTTCCATGTAAATTTTTTCACACAATAAAATCCTGCCGGGAAGGCAGCCGCTGCAGATTTTCCCATGATGCTCTAACAGAAGAAACAAGCAGGATACTTCAAGAGGTAAGCGGTCATTTGCCAGCCATGTTCCTTCCCTTCCATAATAATCCTTTTCGGTCAGCTTCAGAAGTGCTATTAAAAAAGTAAGCTTGCGGTGCTTTGAATGTAGCAAATGTTGCAACAAGAGGGGTGGGTGAGTGGTGTCTCGTTGACATATTTAAGAAGTCCAAATTTCTTATCCCGCAATTTTTTCGTATGTAAATTAATGACGAGTACTTTTAATCAGTGAATTGTTATCTCTCTTCTTATAAACTACCGCTACTGGACCATCCCTAACACGATTTATATATATATAGTTTTTTTTTCTTCTTTTTACGGCAAGCGGAAGGTTTGACAATCACTAGCAGCACGATTAATAAGAGAAGCCGTCCTATGTTCTGAGTTAGGCGTTGATTAGTTTCACCTCAGTTGTACGAGGGTGACAACTTGTGAAACAAGAGACACTCGCGATGAGCTCGTCACCTCACAGAGGTGAACCTAAAGGCGCAACCTAAAGAAATTGTGATTGGTTGTTTGGTGACATGTAAACTTGCCTTCAAAGTGAGGAAAAATCACAAACACTGAATTTTTTAGCTAAGGAAGATAGTAAAAAAACGAAAATGAGAAGATTGAACCATAAAAGAACGAATATTGTTTAGGATGGACGAGACGAAAACTAATTACTAAAATGGGGCAAATTTGAAACTCTTTGGCTGATTTTTCGGATGGAAAACTGCTTTGGAGGTACTTTATTTAAAATCTCATTAATGTTTTCCTTATTTTGCAGTATCTCAACCCAGCCCACGAAGACGCTGATCAATTGCCAGAGGGGACTGACTTCGTAGCGTTGAATCAGCAAAGTTCTGATCCACAGTCGCCCGTTGAAGACACCCCGCAATCGGGGCATTTGTCTCCATACAATCTAAGGACAAGTGCACGAAAGCGGGTACTTGGTTGCGATGGAACAACACCAGGGGGCCAAGGAACATTTGGAAAATTGATCAGACTTGGAAGACCTGCAAAGGCAGAAGAAGACGGCGCGCAGGACGCAGAAGAGCAAATGGGCCCGTTCGTTCCAGGATTATACAGAGACTTGTCTATATAGAGGCCTGACCTTCAGGGGCTTCTTTATTCAGAGCCAATGAATGAAAAAAGGGAATCAAACGAACATTCTAAGTGGACAAAAAGTTGTCAAAGATCTCCACTTACTGAGAGCTGCTCAGTCGCTTGCGTTCTAAAGGGTACAAGGAGTTTAACATGAGGAGCACGAACAGTTGAAGATGGCCCATCCGGGAACGAATCCAGTCCGTAGCGGGATGGATGACTTGATCCTGAGACCATCAGGTAGCAAATTCAACGCTCATACCACTCGGCCACCGTCCCGAAGAATAGTAGAGAGTTTGTCAGTAAACGGTTTTTTTCGGAAGTATCCGACAGTTAATTGGCATGATGTAATTTTTCCTATGACAATAAGCATCTTAGGAATTGTAACATAACCTTTGCGTCTGAAGAACAAACAAAGACCGAAAAGAGTTTATATTAGTCCAAGTGTATCCTGGTATTTGTAAATCGTTAAAACAGGCTATATTTCCTTTTAGCTGTTCCGTTTCTCTGAAGGCACGTGTGCCATGAATGGATGTTTGGGATTTGAGGCTTCATTGTACTTAAAAGGTATCCAAAATTTTAAGCTCAATAAAAAAAACGCAAACCGTGTATTATTATGGCATGGCATAAATTGCTCTTACTCTAGTGTGACGGAATAATATCTATTGCCATAGTGCCTCTCAGTCCGTACTGGCTGCTTACCAAAGGAAAATGTTCTGTGCTTAAACATGAAGATAGATGGCCCTGAGTAGTGGGTGAGTGGGCCTTCAATCTATCCAGTGGTAACAGTTACTTAGAGACACCTCGCTGAACAGAAAATAAGCGTCTTGCATTGGATAATGCTTTAACTGATTCTTGGATGTATCGTACCCAGGTTGCTCACCACCAGGGTTTTTTTTTGTTCCTTTTAGTTGCTCTCTGCAATAGACCTATCGGTCGATTGCTTTGAAAAGGTGAAAAACTGACAGGGACTAGCAGACAACTCTATAGTAATCATAAGAAACAGAAACTATTGAACAGCAATTGATACATACAAAGCTGGTTAAACAATGAAATCAAATACAAACAGCTCCATTTAGTGTCCAATTGTCAATCCAGTTCAGCTTGCGCCATGAAATTTTAATTTCATCTTTTAAAAATGATTTTGTAAATTGCTGCAGAGTTACTGCCACTCACCTTGGTTTGACACCGGGAAGCTTTTTTATCAGTGAAAGAAGGGGTTGGTTGGCTTATGGTAAAAATAAACAAACTGAATTACAGTGAGCGAAAGGATGGCAACTGCCTTTGGCGTACGGTTAACCCTTTTTCCAAAGATTCTGACCTACTTCAATGAACTGACGATGATGCTTCCATTGTCTTTTCTATATTCTCAAAAGCTACGTGCTCGATATTGAACTGAAATTTCAAGGAGAAGTTACCTTAAATATCACTCGTAAGAATGAAATTAACGTTTTGAAGAATCCCACGTACTGGAGGTTGCTTCTTTCAGCGCAATTCAATTTTGCAATAGCAATATCACCAAAACGGCCGAGGTAAAGAAAAACATCGGGACTACGCATGAGCAAAGGTATATCTGCAATACAGCGCTGGGTTGAAGGTCTGCGCAGGTCAAAGCGTTGTGAAGGTTGTCAAAACAAAGATCGGTGTCCTACGGGAGATATAGACAACCACATAAACCAGTAAATCACGTTGATTTAAAACCGTCTTCCGCTATTATAAAGATCAAAACAGATTGGTAAATCAACAGGGTACCAGTAATTGAAAAAGCATCGTTTTCGAGAAGTCTCGCGCTTACATTTTGCCAATTTTAATTTCCTCTTCAGTTGCTGATTTCTATTACCCTCTTTATTTTCTTAAGTTTTCTCTTGGGCGGGAAAATGGCGTGCGGCCGGCCAAAACTGTTCCCCTTGCGCGTGCCCGACGCTAGACTGCTGCGTTTTTATTTGCAGGCGGTGGGCTTCTGGCTAATGAAATTGGAGATAAAATGCACACAATCATAACTGCGATGATCAGCGAGAGTGGGTGATATAAATGTATGCTTCTTGCATACAATTTAGAGGCAATGGAGCCCTCTACCGGATTCCAGTTCCCGTGTCAAAGGAATTGGATACAATTCAGCCGTTAATTTGCGTTTCAATTCGGTCAGAACTCTTCAGAAGGCTAAACACGTTTGGCCGTAAAGATCAGCCGTAGTTTGGCGATCTTCCTTGAAAAAGGTGAAAAGTCTGCCAGACAAGACCATATATTCACGGAACTTCTGTATACTGTCTCACTCCCTTTTACTTAAAAGTCATCTATCTCAGTTTCCTTAATTTCTCAATTCCTGACATTGTAAGTTTGGTTAAGATGTTTGTCAAAGAAAGCGAAAGAAGCCCTCTTAAAATATAACCATGAACTAAAGCTGCATGTCATTTTCCAAGGAATGAGTCTGGAATAATCTTAGTTCGCAAGTGAAAATTTGAACCAGTCATGGTTCAGATGTACCTAAAATACTGAATCACAGTTTGATTCAGCGCAATCCCAAATGATCCTATTTTAAGACTCGCACAACAAAATAAGTTGCCTCACTCGAAAAGGCCCATGCGCAATTGGAAAATTTGCAGTTAAAAATCCTTTGAAAGACTAACCTGTATGACCTAATTAAAGTTTAAAACGCAGCGGCTACCGAGCAGTTTTGAGGTGAAACCCAGCGGATGTTCATCATTTTTTTTTTCACAGTTTCTTTTTTTTCGGCCGTAAATGACAAAGTTATCGATCGCAGTATGATTCCGAAGGAAGAAATGAATTTAAAGTTAGTTTATTGCAAACAGAGGTGTTAATGACATGCTGCTGAAAAAACTTCAATTGCTGAGTCGAAAAGAGACAGGATATCAGGTTTAAGCGCTGATCAAATATGCTAAAAAAAGTTGTTTGAAAGGCAGCTATTTCTGAGTTTGCAAAGAAATTCTGTCTTTGAATGGTCACCTGCCAAGAACGCATGTCTGACAAATGAGAAATTTAAAATGTCATGAATTTTTAAAAGCAACCGGAAAAAACTTGGCTATATTGAAAATTGTCTTCATTGGAGATCTTGAATTTTTATTGCTTACAGAACAGCATGGAGATTAATAATGTAGATTTAAGCTCTCGCAATTCGTAGAAATTTTTGTTTAATCACAGATTCACAGGCGTAAGTTGATTTTGTATCCTAGTCGTTAAAATTTGAAATTTGGTTTTACTCCGCTTCAAACAGGTACAGCTGTTGTTCTTGCGATAATTCCGTGCATTATTGCTTTTCATATATATCAACCAATCAAATCAGCACATTAATAAATTTTGCTGACATTATATCGCACTTCAGCGGAAATGACAGCGATTTACTTATGCGGTTTGATGACAGAAGGCAAAACTTTCCTGAAAGCTTAATTGTCTAAAATCCGCTGCAGTTCTGCCAAACCAGGGATTTCGTCTCTCGACTTAGCAGTTTAGGAAAATAAAGATGAGGTGTTATGGCTATAACAGGTCCTCTGTTTTTTACATAATTACAACCTGTCATTTGACTTTCCGAATGTGTGTTTAGTAATGTAAAATAATGTGTGATGTCATCCAATCACACACTATCCTAATGCTGATGTTATTAGATGCTGGAAAAGTTTCTTGTGATATTTTTTGTTATGCTTCGCAGGCCGCATGTGAGTTGCCGGATCTTGCTAAACACCTGGGGTAAGACGACTCACGTGAAAAGAACGAAAATAACATATGCATTGGAAATAGGCATCATCCGCTGAAAATTGGCTTAAGCCAATGGCACAATATGGACTCGAATGTTTGTCGTAGTTAGTACCAAATAACACCGGTCTTCCTTTCAATCAAGAATATGGCTGGAAGGATTTTTCTGAGGCAACTAATGTTATTTAACACCCTGAATTTTCTCACTCGTTTCGGTACTGCTGTAGAAAAGCTGGATGTCAACATTGCGGTGTTCTTTGACATGGATGACATCTTCCAGGAATATGTCTTCAAGTCGGCCGAACAAATGTTCCGATCAAGAAAAGTTGTAACTGGTAATGTGACTCCTAATGAGTTCTTGTTGGAGATGCATTTTTCAAGGCCTAATTTAACCGATGTCTTTCCCCTCGAATATGGTTTGAGTGGTTTGTTTCCCAAGATTTCAAACATCACTTCTGACTCCCAAGGCGTAATCTTCGTCAATGTAACAAAAGATGGACTACTTTATTCCTCGCTTTTGGAGAGTTCCGTGTTTCCATCAATTGGGCTACTACAGAGCAGAAGGGCATTTCCCATCACACAGGTAAATTAAAAATTCATCTGTCTAGCTTCTTTGTTTCAACTAAACTCACCTTTGACGCCCGTTAAGTGGTAATCTCAAGCGATTTTTCAATCTCTCCACTGATGTCAGCGAATTTCAATTTTTGGAATTTTTTTCATTACATAGGATATAAAAGCTTTATAATTTGGAAAAAATCTGTTAGCAGTTTGTTTCTTTTTTTAATTTATCTACCTTTCATCCATATAACCAGCCAAGTTAACATCACATTTGGGTCAAAAGGAATTTAGAAATTCATCTCAGAATCTCGTCCCTCGCGGAAGCTCTTTTTCGCTCATCAGCAAAAGAGCGCGTAACGAACGCTAGGAACTTAATCAATATTTGGATACTGCTGCTTTCACACTTTTGGATGATATTTACAAAATAAATACAATCGTTTTATTTAAATTTCATCGTTAATAAAAAAAATAAACATGCTTGAAAAAAATTGTTCGAGTAGATGCGATTGAAAAAAATTCAAAAATATTGTGTTATCAGATATCAACTTGGCTTAATAAATGAATTGAACCACTAGGAATACTGGCAAGGAATGAATATTTATACTAATGTTTATGTCTAATGTGATATCGTCAACGTGTGTTAGCGCCTGCCCATTTTAAAGCCGACAAGATCTTAGTGCCCCCTGCAATCGTCTTGAAAAGCTACCTCATAAAATCTCGAGAAAAGGCCTAAAAAGAATTCTCCTTTTCCTTTCATTTTTTCGTTTTACGGAAACGATCAGTTATATAACTTAGTTAATCTACCATTCAATGCGAAAATCCGAAGGATAGTCACTTTTGAATGACAAAAAAAAAAAGAGGAAATTTCCGACAAAAAACATCTGCGGCTCGAAGTAATTTCGCCATCTATCTAGGGTTAATTAGACTAAAAATAGGTTGAATTAAATTTTCATATTCATTTTCAAAAGGCTAAAGAAAATATTCTTTCATATATTTAAACCTTTGAAACCTAATAATTCAGTGGGAAAGTAATCTAAAATTTAGATATTACATGTTTCAAAATATTGCTTGGCTTTTCATTAACATTTTTTAAGATTATGAATTTTGGGAAAAATTCATCTATTCTAAAGTCAGTTTTGCACCATAAAGGTAACAAAGCTGTCATTATTGTATCACGAATGAAAGCTTTCATGAAGAAATAGCTGGCGATAAAAGATAAGCACAATTCAAACAGAGATCAGACATATTAAGCTAGTAAACGAACGACAGGCGGTTAGCATAAGTTAAGGAAATCCTTTACAAAAATGATAAAATATGAATGAACCATTCCATTCCGGTCTGGTGACGAGCAGTTTAGAATTTACAGTTATTCAACAATAATTGTTGTTTTTTTTCTATATTGGAAGCTCATCGTTGACTTTCCTCATATATAGACGCTTGTTTCAAATGGTTGTGTGCTATCTAAGTAGCTCCCTTGTAGTTATTTAATGAACGGCCATATTCATGTAGAGACAGTAATGTGTTCCATTGTGGTTCTCCAGAAAACATACCCCTTTATTTTACTGATTCATATCGGTAATCAAGACATTTTATTAACAATTTTCATAGATTTTATTTGTGGCACTAGAGCAATTTAATTATAAATCACTCCGGCTGATATGCTTATATGTATATCTGTTCTTTAGAGCAAATAGTTATCCGACTGTGGCTGTTAAGCATGAAGAAAACTTTGATGTTCGAAATAGTTTGCCTCGATTTCACCTCGAACAAGCCTGAGAAATGTTTCCGGTCCCCCTTTGCGGTAATAATTTAAAGGCAACACTTTCAACGCATCAGAAGCAAAACTAAACCCCATCACTGTGACATGACCAAAAGCGTTTTCCACTCTAGAATGGAATCGCTTCCCCCTTTGTACAATATGGAGGAAACGTTCTGTGTTATCCCGAGGTACCCCCTTTATGCTATCCTATTCCTACATTTAGAGAGCTGCTGAAGAGCAACGGCTTTCGTAAACTTTCTTTGAACATGACTCTGAAATAATAATATTACGCTAAGAAATAAAAGTAAATGATCCAAAAGGTATTCAGTAATTGAAAACACGGTGTATGTTAGCAGCTGCTTTTTCACGTATTGAATCTCTGTCTTCCACGTAAAAATCACCTTAAACGAGAACAACACCGAAAATATAGGTATGGTAAAAAAGAAAATCAGCAAATTTAGGGAAAGAAAATCAACGCGGATTAGAATGGCTGGGGATGTAAAAGGTATACAAGGATTGAAACTTGAAAAAATGTAGGCTGAATTTATCACTTCAGGTGCGCTGACATATCGTGAAGTGCCTCTATGGAAATCGTTTTTCGTTTATTTGTTAGTTTGTTTCTTTGCTTTGATTGTTGGTCTGTTATTTTCAAAAGGAAAGTTCTGGCGGATTCACAAGAGTTGCAGCGCCATCAATAATGGAATATGCACAAGTAATGGTGAAAATTACGGAGAAAATGGGCTGGAGGACCCTCAGTTTGGTGACATCAGCCACGTATGAGGGGCATGTATTTGCTGACGCTCTCAAACGCTTAGCTCAGGAAAAGAAATGGCGTGTATTAACCTCATTATGGATTCAAGGAGACGAAAGTCTTCAAGAAATAACAACGGGACTTCTGCGCGTTATGTCGGCCAAATCGGATGTAATTATCGGGCACGTTCGTGAAAAGAGCAACGACAATATGTTTTGGACGATTCAAAAGTTGCAAGCCATTGAGAATAGTAGCGTATGGCTCGTTACTAGGCCTACCACGTACGGTGTACAGAACATAAGTTCGATTCCAACTGGACTGATTCAGATCAGCTGCAAATTACCTGAGGTTGGACATGACTATGAGTTGTACGTGAAAGCATTGTACGATTCTTTTGTCATGTTCGAAAGTGCTTTTAAAATTTCAGTGAGGACAATAAACAATGAGCGAAAACAGGTCCTGAACACTTCAGAGAAATACAAATTTCTGCGGAGAACGGCTCTGATGTAAGTCAATGATCCATCTTAGAACTTGTAAAGTAAAATTTTTGTTTCCCCTTTTTTGGTTGTTTCATTAACCGTGCGGATACAGTTTAGCGCTGAGAGAGAGATAGGGTCGCTTCTCAGGAAGGAAGCACTGAACTAAGGGAAGTAGATGAGTGGGATAAGGGACGGATAGCTCCATTGATGAGTTTGCAAAAGAATACTGTCTCCAAAGTGCAGCTGAGTAGGACCACGTCTCTGTGAGCGGTTCTCACAGAGATGTGGCAGTACTTGTCTTGTCAAATTATTAGAGGTCACTTTCGTTTGAAAGATTTATGTATGGTACGTACAGAAAGCTAGATGAATCACTTCAATGCCAGGCAGTTCAATTTTTTTCCATCTTAAACTGAACACTTTACCTCGACAATGTACAGCAATAACCCAAACTCTAGTGTATCAGAAGTTTACCCAGTCGTTGATTTGATCTTTTGTTCGAAAGTTTATTTATTCATCTATCCTGGTTAATCATTCGTCAGGGGGATAGATCGGTCGTTCTTCTCTTTAATTAGCCCTCTTTCATCCTGTACTTTTTGTTCCTTCTTTAGCCGTTTAAAGGATACTTACATAAGAGGTAGCAGCAAGCTTTTCAGAGCTCACGATTTATCAGAACGACACCATTCAGCCTTTGACATCTGGAATTTAAGGGAGGATCTCGATAGCAGGAAACATTGGCAACATGTAGGACTTGGTACAACAACTGGACTCGCATTAGAGCCCATTGCAAACCACAATGATAACACCCTCTTTCCACTACTACATCCTAAGCACCCCGTCCTGCGGGTGCCTGTCGTCGAGTGGCCTCCTCTCGTGGTCTCAAAAGATCCAGCGTTGACGATGAGCCGCAAATCATGCGTTGGAAGAACTTTACCTTGCTATAAGTACTTAAGTGTCCAAAATTCTACGCAGACGACTAAGCAACTTCTTTGCTGCTATGGAGCGTCTATAGACTTTTTGAAGTTTCTAAGAAGAGACCTCGGGTTTGATACGGAAATTTATTTCAATCCAGATGGGCGATACGGGAAGTTCGAACCCGTGAACAGCACCTGGAATGGAATTATAAATGAAATTATCTCTGGCAAAGCGGATCTAGCTCTCGATGTGGCCGGAAACTTTGAAAGATCAAGGGTAGTGGAATTTGCATACCCTAGCATTGCATCAGCAATGAACATTTTGGTCAGGAAAGATCGCTCCTACAAGGAACAAGGTATAAGGTTATTTTGCAATGTAACCGGGTTTGCTTACTTGCAAGAAAGTGTCCAGGCTCGATTTAAAATCAGATCAGTGCCGATATAAGTCGGGACTCAATTGGTCCTGATGTAACACAGTATCCAGTATGACATTGTTAGGAGTAAGTGAGAATACTTTCAGATAGTGTACTTTTTTATTTTTTATTTTTTGTCATCTTTTTTTTTTTTTTTTTTTTTTTTTTTTTTTTGCAAAGAAACTCAATTGTGGAAATCTTTAAAAAATGTAATTTAAATACTTCTACTCTTTTCTCTATCAGTAAGCATCTGGTACTCTTGGCTGGAACCGTTCCGATATGAGCTTTGGATCGCTATCCTGGTGACATGTAACGTGATCCTGTTTGTAGTTTGGTGGCTTGACAGGAAGAGTCCAAAAGGATATTATGTCCTCCTCAAGGACAGTGACGAAGATGCTTTTACACTTTTAGGTAAGAAGCAAAGCAAATCCATATGGTTTTTAGCAAGGGATGGGAATGGGAAGAAAAAGATAAGGCATTTATCGCCCGGTAACCCTAGCCTGGGACATCTTTGTTGACGACTCGTACACTCTAAAATGATTTTTCAACTTAAAAGAATGATGACTCGGGTCCAACCCGACTTATGATGACTCAGGTCCTAGAAGCTTTATACACAGCATAAGGGACTTTTCTCTCCTCTGGATGAGTGCACTCCTGAAAAGGACGGTTTTTGTTAGTGATGACCGACTTTCAGACAACCGAAGCAGGAGTCATCTTAAGGTCAGGTGTCTAAGTCAGAATAAAGTACCTTTCCCCTAATGATGACTTCCACTTAGATTGGTTTGTCGAAACCCAAGTCACCGTCACCGTCACCGTCACCGTCACCGTAAACGAATTCTTTTAGATGAGCCTTCACCCGGACGATCATGCTAACGCTATCGGGTTGATATCATTAACTGTGCTAAGACTTTCTTTCCAGACGCCATGAGTTATGTTTGGGGCGTGGCATTTAGTAAGGACATTGGTGCGGAAAAGACTCCACGCAGCAACAGCGCTCGTACCGTTTCCGCGGTTTATGCGTTACTGGCCTTGATCATGGTGAATACCTACTGTGCAAACCTCATGGCCTTCTTACTTGATGATCCATACAAACTGCCCATCAGTGGTGTAAAAGATGCCAAGGTAAGTGCCGTTTATCGAACCTTGTTCAATTGAGTATGAAAAGCATCAAGAATTGTAATGTGTTTGCTAGAACACGACCTCTAATTGGTTCAGGAAGCTTGCCTCACTATCTCCACCGATCAGAAGAAAAATGTATTTAAAACTTAATCAAACTCAGATTGCATTTTAGTTACTATTCATTCCCGACGTTAGACACCAAACGACATGATTCCCGTTTAAAGCCGGTTGCCGTTATTCCAATTGTACTCTCGTTGGCTCCTTGACTGTCCTGATCACATTGGTTCTACTAACTTACGCCCTATCGAAAAGCATTCGACTACTTTTCAATTTTTATGTGCAGCAAAATGCAGCTACTCTGACATTACTAATACTGTAATTTCAGCTTGCGTTAAAAATAACCATCGCTATTACCCAAGTTTATGACAGACTGAACTGATGAATTAGTTTTCCCAAAAGCGAGCGAGTTTAAACCACGATCTTGCTGTGAGAGGGCGCGAGGGATTTACGTCTGTAAACATCCTATGGAATTTGCCTTCAGTTAACATCGATTGAGTTATTGCAAAAACTAATCTTAGCCTTAAGAAAGACGCGAAGCATTTGTCACCAAAAAGAACCGAAAAAAAGGAATTTGATGACGTATGTAAAATTCGAGTCCCAATCAGTTGAGCTACAGATGCTCTGAAAAAAGAGCTACGGACGTAATTTTTTCTACATCGTTTTTTTTTTCTACAAAAAAAAGGCTAAGGAAGGATTGCAATCCAAAGCACTAGTTCCAAAGACGTTTCAGTCCACCTCTTTCGTCTAATGTTATTCTCGTCTCATTTCAATAGCTCACCGAGAAGTCTCTTTACCCACCGGATGGTTTTAAACTCGGAGTCACACGCGGGAGTAACGAGGAAGCATACTTCAAAAATCACGTCAAAGACTTTTTCAGGAAGATTTACCACGTTAACTTAAAAATACATCTGGTGGATGGTTTTCAGGCAGGGATACAGCAGCTTACAAACGAGTATGTTTTAAGTAAATTATAATCTTCGTATGCAGTCATGTTTCTTGAACTTTTAGATCCGAGGGCTGGATATTCAAAACCAGACAACTTCTCATCGTGGAAGTTTGACAAATAACACACGCACAATCAATGAGTCCGCCACACAGCCAATGAGTAGTTACTCAATTAAACAAGACAGTGAGTCAGTCCGTAAATTGATCCGCAGCCATTTAGTCAATCAGTAATGCAGCTTGTCGTGCGGTCCATGAGTTTGTTTGCTAATCAGTTAGAACTTGATCATTAATTCATTCAATTATTTCTGCAATCAGTCAGTAAGTCAGTCAGGGGTCAGCCAATCAGTTGATTGGTCGGTCAGACAGTAAGCCAGTAAGACAGTTTGACAGGCAGAGAAGCAGGTAGTTCATCACTAATTATGATTTGAAATAAGCTGCTCGTCAGTAAAGAATTTACTTAGTTCTACTAATTGCTGATCGCAATATTTTCTATCTCAGCGAGCTGGATGGACTTGTGGGTGACTACTTGTCTTTGAAGCAAGCTGGAAACAATGATGCGAACTGCAGATACAGCCTCGCTGGGGAAAACTTCTACAACTTTGGCTATGGTTTTGTTTTCCCAAAAGGTTCACCATGGATAGAGGAAGCAACTTTGTCAGTGTTAAAGAACCAAGAGAATGGCAGTATTCAAGCTATTTTAGATTACTGGTTCAACAAGAAGGAATGTACCACGAAACCAGTGAAAGAACTTGGTCCCGAGAAATTTATTGGGTTATTTCTGCTTCTTCTCGGTGTAATTGGGTTCAGTATAATTTCTTTGATATCTGAGATGCTCATCATATTTGTGCTGGTTAAATTCGGACGTCACCTGGGTCCCATGGGAAAGTCTTTGACGCGCATGATCTTTAGTGTGCGCAAGGGAGAAGAAAACGACATTCATATAAAGTGGTTGCAGTTGTACAGGAGACATAAGAGCATGCGCCCAAACGAGGTACAATTCACTGAACCTCATCACGATGTTTCGATTCGAAGAGCGAGCTTTTGTAACCTGAGCTTTGAGTATGCAAATGAGATGTTACCCTTTGATGAACAGTCGGTGTATCTTCGTAGAAGTCAGCTATTGGCAGTGGAAGATCTATCCCTTTCGGCTGGTGGGAATTCCGAATCAAATAACAATACCTCTGATAGAACAGAGAATTCGACGCTTTGAGTATCAATAGATGATGTGGCTTTAGATTATACCACCACAAAACTGGCGAAATCATTGGGCAAATAGGCATCCCTTGTCACTCAGCACTCGTAGGGGTACCGAAGTTAGTAGCACACCAACGAAGGCGAAAAAATTAAAACTTCAATATCTGCTATGGCCGTATTGATAGATTATACTAAAACAAAATTTTAATTTAAGTCTTATGACAAGTCAAAATATAGCCTGGGAAATGAGTGACGTGCAGAAAGAGCATTAAGGCTATTCTTATCCTGATAATATAAGGACTACGCCCAACCCAGTGAAGTTAAGAGTTCAAATGGATAAGTGAGTAAAATGTTGTCCAAACGTAGCACATACGTTTCACTAATACCTTTCGTTTCAATTGGGTGCAATATTTGTACCTCAACTAATTATGTGCGGGTCTCATAGCAAATACATGCGAAGGGAAAAGAGAGAAGAAAATGATCATCAGAAACAAGTTTACGTTGACATAAACGGCAAGAATTGAACTTTCAGTTGTGGAGCAAAAACAAAATTACATAAAATTGTCGCAAATGAGAGATCTTTCTGTATCTTTCCCAGGAGAACTCTCTCGGTCTACTTGGAGTATAGGTGATTCTACAACCGTACATAACTCTGTCATAAAACTTGCAACACACTCAGTAAGAACGTCCTCCCGCCATGTGGAACATCACTTTTACTGACATTTTTGGCCCAGTCAACACATGTTTCAAGACCATGACGCCTACCACACCAATAAATAAAATGGTTCCATTAAAAAATACGTACCATAGTATCTTCGCTTTGAACAAGTGTAGAAAACTGTTTCATTATATGAACTGTTCAGAAGTAAACATGATTAAGATGAAAAGTAGACTTTCAACTTTATAATTACAACGTATGATTTTATACAACTTTGTATTATACCCATGTCTTTTTTACAGAATTGTTCTACAGTTCAAAGAAATAAAAGGAGAGGAAGTAAAATACAGCTATGCTGTCCCGTTTGTCCGTTACGGCCGTCAGGCTCTTTATTTAACATGCTTCTAAAAAGTAGCTTGTGCTGTAAAAATAAACAAACGCACAAAAGCTGATGGAACGATTGTTACTAAAACGACTTACCCACAAGAACGCATTAGTAATAAACAAATAAATAAATACTGACACACTTCAAGCTTTCACCCTTAGTCTGTTTTCACGACGAATGTATGTAACAATAAAGTTGCGTTTTAGCTCCACAACATATTCTTTACAGAGTCGACCAACTGTTGAAAACAATAAAATACATGGGGCAAGAGTTTACCGAAACAAAGAATTAAGTAAATAAACTCCTTCCGGTAGCTGGTGTGTCGATGGCTAACTTCCACGACTGGGTAATTGTCCGAAAAACGAATTTTCTGGCGGGGAAGCGAAGCTTCGAGGGAAAATGTGAAATTTTGAGGACAGTCTCTCAGCAAAGGACATCACAGCCGACATACCAGCAAGCCAGAAGGTGGCTTATTTGATTTATAATCCTCCCATTACGTGTCATACCGCGCGATGAAAATAAATTTTCTTGACATTTTGTACTTTCTGGAGCAGAATTTGAGATCTGCTTTTTAATATCACTACCACGATTACTCTACTTAACCAATTGGTTTTTCTTCCGGGTAAAGTAATAAAGATTAAAAAGTAAAACACAAGAGCTGGCTTCTTCCCGGTCCAGTGATTTTGCACCACGCGATGTAAAGTAGCCAATAGACTCACGCGGAAATTAATAGTGGGTTGCAATGTCACATAGACCATGGAAAACTAATCTATATTAACACATCAAATTCATCCATGGTCTCAATTCCTTACATCTTCCTTTCTCACGTTGGTAAAAATGTAGATTTAAGCCCAGGGATTCTTGTTTTGTTCAATTGAATCTGAGGGAAAAAATGGCATATTATTTAAATTGGTCTTTCAGTAAATTATCATCACATATCATATCCTTTAAAAATATAATATGTATCGAGAAATGAAAACTACGGGGGAGTTATTGAACTGTCGTTCACACACCTTGTACTAAGTCGTCGGCAGATTCTTCCACAAGGCTGTGTTTGTCAAAGAGACCTGGCAATTCGGGGACCGTGCTGGCCACAGAAGACTGAGATCTACGCATTGACACTTCCTGTGAACTGAGGTGAGAGTAAAATCAGAGAATCACTTGGACGACTATTCCAATCTAGGCACACAAATCAGCCTCTCTATCGACAAGTAAATACATGAAAAACTCATTACAAACGTTGTTCTCTATTGTTTAATTTTACAGCGAAAAAACAGTTCGCCTCATCGTCCTTTCTTGGCCCTCTTCACATCGTGTAGAGAGTCTTTATTAAATCATTATTGTTATTATTATCATTATTCTTTAGCGTTATGTGACAACCAAAGTACTAAGCAAAGACACAAGGCCATCAAACTTGGCTCGTTACTTTAGTTAAAAGTACCTCAGCTGTCGAAGCTCTTTACGAGAAACCCTAACAGGAGTAGAAGCTTGAGAAGGAACTCCCATTCCCTTTTCGGCGAGAGAATGCTTTAAGGTAATAGATAACAAAATGGAAGATATCAATCAATCAATCAATCAATGAATTTGAAGTTCAGTTTGTCCGTACGTTGGTCCGTGAGTCAGTCAGTCATTTAGTCAACCAATCATTCAATAAGTCAGTCATTAATTCAAACAGTCAATCAGTTACTTATTGAGACAAGATAATTTGGTTTTATCAGATGAGTTGAAGATGTGAATTGGCCACCGTTCAGAGAACCTAAAGCCGATGTTCGAATGTTAGACCCTTTTAGAGCGCGGATTTGCTCTGACGAAAGGCTGAAGCTGGAACCTCAGCTTTAGAAACTCTTTACGGTGGACAATTCACATTATAAACTCAATTGATGAAACCAAATTATATTGTAATACGCCCCACCAACGCAGCACCATAGTTTATTTAAAGACTTACCCTTATTATTCAGTTATTGAGACAGTCAGTGAGCAAGTCGATCAGTCAACAATCCAGTCTGTCGGTCAATCAGTCAGTCATTTACTCAGTAAGTCAAACAGTCAATCAGGCACAAAGTCAGTCTGTCAGTCAGTGAGTAAAACAGTTATTTTATTAGTCAGTCAGTCAGTGGACAATAAGCTAACTAACCAACGGCAAAAAATTAAAAAATGTTAGAGAGTAACCAAGGAATTACAAAGCCAAAGAGGAAAACAAGACACCCAACGTAGGATACCCAAAATGCAGGCCAAAAAGGAAGCCAACAGTCATTCTTACAAAATCACCAGGGGAATATTTACCTTCATACGGGAAACGTCTGTCGCTAATTGCTTGGTGTAGACATCTGTACTTTTATGCTGAGCTTCCAGTTCACTACTGGCCATAAAAACATCCGATTCAACACTGGTACCCATTCCAGACACCATCTTCTCTCGCAGTTTCTTTTTCAGGTCGCGGCTTGTTTTCTTGTAGTAATACAGATCTTTCTCCAACTGTTGGGCTCTATTTTCAAGTTCACTGCGATAAAAGAGAAATATTTGGTTTAGTTTACATGCTATCACAATTGTATCATTTTCTTTGTGTCCGTACGACTGCAGATCTTCATTTCACCCTTAAGACAGGACATAACCTTTTATCTACATACAGTATTTTTCTACGTGAGCTATGGTAGACATCACTCTTGGCTGAATTACACTTCAACGCTATGCTTACATTATTTCTTTCAAACAAATGCGACAAAACCAAACACAAATATTAAACAACAACAAAAACAACTACACGGTATACCAGCGAAAAAGGGTGACTTAAATTCTGCATTTCAAACTAAATCAAATATGACCCGGATTGTTGTTACGTTTTCCAATAAGGTACCTTATTCTCTCATCTGGTGTCTCATTTAACTCAGCATCACGAAGTTTGTTCATTAAGAACTGTATCCTCTGTTCGTATTTCTTTTGATGCTCCACTAGCCTTCGGTCCCCTTTTATTCCAGCTTGCTGCAATCCACGACCTAGTTCACCAATGATCCGTTCTTGCTCGGTTATACGAACCTGGCGAAATTCAATGTAAAAAAATGGTAAGTAACATACTCATGTTGCAAAGTAATCTACAAAATTTAATCTCAGATGGAAGCAAAACATTCTCACGGAGGGAGAGCCAGTTTTCGCTGTTCTATCCTTTTGCTGATTATGTATTCATTTTTCTCCGAAAAGGAAGACGAATTATCATCAGACTGCCTTTCATACGTTACCCCATCGCTGATTCATTTATACTTACCTCCAAATCGCTGCAATGCAGTTCCAGTTTCTTCTCACTTCCCCGCAACTCGACAACTTTCTCAAAGTATTTTGACAACAGGGCGGTGGCTTCCCTTTGTGAGAGGTTACTCAGCTTGTTCATCAGTCCTTCTCGGTCTTTGTCTGTAAGAAGTTTACCACTGTCCAATTCTTTTTGTTGGGTAGCAATTCCATCGTTTTTAAACTCGATCGCAGCTCTCCCAGGTTAGGAAAGACAAGTAAAGCTGTGAGTTCTAGTATAAAAATGATAGCTCAGGTTAAATTTCTTTACGATATCTGCGTCGATACCAACCATAATAGAGGCTTCCCAGCTATCCCAAACCGTACACGTAAACGAGAGAGGAGGATGGTATGATCGACTGTATCGAAGGCAGCGGAAAGGTTCGTCTAGTTCAATAAGCCTGGACAGAACAGAAGCATATCTCAATAGTGTTTGGTCTTGCTTCAACCAAAAAACCTCGGTATGATAAAAAATGACTTTGGTTGCTGTTAAAACGATCGATTGATCTTCATTACATGAACCTCTTGTCAGTCATTATTAACTCTCGTCACCTGTCAGCTTTACGGTGCATCGATAACGATTCTGAGAGTTAGGGGGTTAAAATATGTACATTTTACCTCCTTTCTTCCTTAGGATCTAACAAGGAGCCTTCCTGTAGTTTCTGCTCCAAAAGTTCACGTTGTTTTAGAAGTTCATCTTTTGTTCTCTCCAAAGTTTTTGCACTTTCATTGCTCTTACTTTGACTTGAAGCGTCAGTTTCTAGAAAACAAATTATGGTAAAATGATTATAGGCGTTCTGTGATAATTCAAATTATTAAAAGGTTGTCACACTCTTAGTACATTTAAGTGTCTAATCCCAGTCCGCTTAGCTGTTAAAATCCTAACCTTGGCATATGTTGAACGGTACAAGTTCTTGCTTTATTTCCGCAATCAGTGATAATAGTGAGGAAATCGAGCAAACGAATAACAACAATTGTACACTAGAATAAAGCCATGCATGGAAAACTTAAAGAATCCAAGTGGTATTCTGTGTGATGAAACAGATTGTCCAAGTTAAATAAAAAGGATCTTGACCTTTCCGGCATTTCTGTCTTTTCTGTCACGACAGAGACGTCAATCGACTTTTAAGATAAAAGTAGTTCGATGATTCTCTGGTGAAGTAGCTCAAGGTGATATTTCGTATAAACCAGTAATTCAGGATTTTAACAAAGAATCCTACCGTCCAAATTTTTCCCTTTTTGTTGGATCTGTTTATCAACTTCTCCAAGTTGGGTAGATAGTCGAAGAATATCCTAGAGGATTCAAATGAAAATGATTTCATCATTAAGAAGGTGTCGGAGTCCACACGTTTATTCGAGTTGAACCCTTTAGCCCCTAAGAGTGACTAGCATCTAATTTCTCCTTACAATATCACCCCTGAATCAAACACGAAAGTCATGAGAATAGAGCAGATGATCACCAGCTAAAGCAGCTCTTGACTGTTAAACAAATTCTCCTCGTCAGCCTCTTTGGAAAATACATGGAAAACAGTATGGAGAATATGCATACTGATGTTAGGGTGTAAAGGGTTAATGAAGTGGTTTAATTCACTAAACTATTTCTCTTCTCTGTGACTTAATAGTTTGAACAAGGAAGTGTCTCCTTAAGAAAATATAAAAGTTAAAATGTGTTTTTTTTCTTACCTTGGTAAGTATCTGGCTAGAGCGTAGTTTCTTCATTTCCAGTTCACTTTTCTCGGCCAGCATGGCTTCTTTGTTTAGTAGGATGGCTTCTCTTTTCTTCAGCTCCTCTGCTAAAGCTTCCATGGCCTCCTTTCTCCTCAAAACTTTTTCGACTTCATTATCCAACCATTGACGGCGTTGCTCTAATTTTGCTTGTTCATCGCTGTAAACAGAACAGTAGACGTCCTGGGGGTATCATAATTTTTTCGGTTTGGGGTAAAATTCAAGAGTAATCACCGCAACGATTAGGGAGCTCTGCGATCTCGCTCGTTCTTTAGTAGTACATTAAAATGTGGCCTGTCTGGGGCTTTGCCTAATAGGAATTAGTGAAAGAAAAGCTGGCCAGTGCTTGTTCAGAAGTGAACTCCTAACCCAATGAACCTTTCTCTGCAATACCGTATCTAGGAAGATTCGTACCTCTCCTTTTCTTCAGATCCTTGTTTGCCAACACTTCTAAGTCGCCGCTTAGCGGCTGCCACCTCTTCTGTTTTCCTTTTAAGTATCTTCTGCTGCTGGCTCATATTATCTTCAAGTTCCTTGATCTTGTGCTGTTGTTTCTGCATTTCTCTCTCCATTTTTATTTTCCTGTCAGCCTCTTCTTTAAGCTTCTTCTGGAGCTGATCCTGTTGATTTCTCATCCTGTCAATGTGCACCTCGAGTTCCTGAACTTTCTTTTCCCTCTCTTCGTGCAGGGCGCCTATTTTTTCATTGTCCTATGGAATATTTAAAGAAAATGAATAAGAAAAAGGTTATCTTTTTGACTAGAAATTTCGAAATGCAGACCCATGCATGATACAACTGACTCAGTTGCGAGACCAACTGTTCAAAAAAGTTCTGTCCAAAACCTTACGAATGATCACATCGAAAAGAACCGATACCAAGCTACAAAAAGATGGGTAAGAGAGAGAACGCTATGGACGCAGCGGCCTAATGCGCTGCCTTGGTCTTCAAGGCGGTCCAGGTTCCAGTGCTGCTATCTCGAATGTTCCAGCTGTTTACCGAAGGAAACGAGAGCCATTCTCGTACATTTCATCTTACGAGTAGGCAAAACAAGATAAGCTCTCTTCTGTGTCTTTACGGTTGGAAAGAACGAAGAAGTGCCAAGTATAACATAGAATACTTGTAGCAGCTTAAACGTCCAAAACATAAGTCTTACCTTTTGCTTTCGTTTCAAAGCCTGAAGCTTGGCCTCCACCGCCTGCAACTTTTTCTTATACTCAGTTTCGACTTTTTGTTTCTCCGCGACTTCGTGATTAGTTTTAGATTCGTATTCTTCCAGAGTTTTCTTACTTTCTTCCAACTCTTTTTTGGCTTTTTCCAACTCCTGTTTCATGGACTTTATTTTCTCGGAGTACTGCTTCTTTGTGTCCTTGGCTTCCCTATCACTCTTGGCTAGTTCCTTGATCAACTCCTCTTTTTGCCTAAACATTTATAATCAAAACATCACACATTAAACAAAAGAGGCAAGAGGCAACTATACAGCTAATTTCTTTCAATAAGGAGAAGGATATAAAGGTTTTGATATAAAACGTGCGCTGGCTACCGAGGAGAAGGACAACGATGGAAAGAAAGGGAAGGAATAGAAAGATTGGGTAAAAAAAGAAAGAGGGGAAGGGAGGAGATTGAGAGGGAGAGAGAGGATGATGAAGTAAAGGAGGAGGATGACACGGAAAAAGAGGAAAACAAGAAGGATAAAGAGCAGCAAGAGAGGGGCGGTTGAAGACGCTGAAATAAACGAAGTGGGGGGATGAGGAGGGGTGATGGGGAAGAGGACAAGGAAGACGAAGAAAAGGAGAAGGAGGAGAGAGAAGCTGGGGAAGGGATGGTTGATGGAAAAGTAGGAAGGGGGAAGGAGGGAAACGAAGAAAACGTGAATGTGAGGAATGGGGAAGATCAACTTTGAGCAACGGTACCTTATATTAATAGTTAAATCTCTCAGTTTTTGCTGGGCGGAGTGGAGTCTTAACTCTGATTGTTTCACTTCGTTTCCGATAACTTGAGTACTCGATCGCAATGCTTCAACTTCATTATGTTCCGCTGAGTCAGGTCTTGACCCTCTGCCCTTCGATTCTGCCAAATCTTTTGTAGAGACCTAACGCAAACGATTTCACGAACAAGTTTATTACAGCAAACGCATATACCATCTAAAGCAAGAATGTGTGGAGGTAGAGGTGCAAATCTATGGAAAAGTATTTTGTTTGTTTACATGACAATGTTTTGTAAAATGAATATAAGTGCACAAAGCGTTTTTAAACCATTCACCTTGCCGTTACCCAAGATCTTTAAAGTCTTTGATTGTTTAGGAACAGTCTCAGGTACCCGTGGTATTTTCGAGCTTTCTCTTTTCATATTCCAAGTCCTGCCCAATTCCCTGAGAATAAATAAATATTATTCTACGATTTAAAAACAAATATGCCGACCAATGTTAGAAAAAGCAAGTAAATAGAGTCAGAACGAACTTTCTTGTGCATGTTCTGAGGCGAGCATGTCTCTCTCAATTTTGATGTAAACAGGATGAGGTTGGTTAGCACAAAAAGATCCCGGTCAATTAGTACGTTACTAAAAATAAATCACACAAATCTACACTTAGCCTTCGCTTCCCTCTGGGTGAATTTTTTGTACCTTGAAGGTTCTTCATCCACCTCGTCTGCACTTTCACTGCTGTCAGACAAGGTGCATACAACCTCGTCTTCCTCCTCGTGTTGGCTGACTAGCAACTGACTGCGTGCTCTGAAATCTTGTATGACTCTGTCAACTATGAACTAGACACGAAACAGAAGCAATCAAATTTCCTTCTTAGAACCTAAGGCAAGAAGAGTAAGAAATGTAAAGGCCTTTAACTTTCTTGAGTGTATGGCTCTCTTTCTTAAGGCAATACGGCACGCAGACTTAAAGTATGACAGGCAAGGGGAGTAGGAGTGATACTTGGAGACCTCTTTCCGGAAAAAAAAAATTGGATTAAAAACAATCTCCGCGCCCCACTACTGCTGATCTCTTCCCTCGGGATTTTTTTTATCTCAACACACAGTGTAGCTCGTTAAGGCTTACCACAGGCGGGCTGCTGTGAACTTCTCTATCATTCATAGACGCCGTCCCATCTTCAACTAATGGCGCAGTATGAATACGTGTTCCTCGAGGACTGGAGAAGACCATTTTGTCTTCTAAAAGAACAACATATAAGCCCAGTAAACAGAATTAAATTTTATAGAAGGATAATCTAATCTGGTCGCACAATTTTGCTAAAAAAGCAGAAAAAAAATTACTTCAATCGTACCTTGATGACCCCCTTGGTTAAGAAGGAGTTGATTAAGCTGGAGTTGTTGCTGGAATAGTTGATCTTCATGTTTTTTCAAGCGATTCTGCGCTTCTTGCAGTTGGTTGTTGAGTTTAAGTTTCTCTTCCTCGAGTTTATGCGCATGCTCCCTTAAAAATTCGATCTCCTTTGATTTCTCCGCGAATATTTCTTCATCACTTGACAAATCTTCCTTGTACTATGAAGGAAAGGGATTCGTGGTTTAGACGGGGAAATGGCAAGGCCGATTGGGAGGCGATAAACTTAATTTTACTGCTTCATTTGCGTAACTTTGTCTATCCTGAAACCTTCAAAATCGTCACCATTACCTTGTTAAGTTCTTTCTTAAGCTGCTCTATCAAGTCGGCTTGTTGTTGACGACTGGTGTTTGGAGTCCAGATTGGTCTCGACCTGATCTGCTCTACAGCTTTAAGCAACCGGTCAAACTGGCTACACTGATTATTTGACATCACGCCGGCCTTATGCAGAGCTTTTAATTGATTTAAAGCATCGGAAAGAAGCTGTTTATATGTGTCACACGCTCCACGAGATCTAAAAGAGGACAAAAAAAAAACTCTTTTTCATTGGCTCCACGATTATATCGAAATACCTCACATCATGCTAGGAGGGGAAGTGATGTCAAATCTAATTTAGTGCACAAATAGGATTTTAAAAAATTGAAATGCAGCAATATTTGGCAAATTATTTTTCGTAGTTCCTTACCTTTCTAATTCATCTTCTAGCGACTTGATTCGCTCGGCATCTTCTCCTGTACCGGCAGACCCAAAAGATGAACCACGGCGCCGTTGAAGTTCTTCACGGAGAGCCTACATCAAAAGACAAAAAGAGTGAAGTGCCACGATTAACGCGAGAGAAACACACAGGTGTAATTTTAAGGTTCAAACCTTGGGATAGAGGGACGGACAGGGGGCAGGAGGCACAGTAACACCTAACGACAAGCGAAAACTGACTTTTGTCAAATATTGTACTTTTAGCTGGCACTATCTGGCTGACAAAGGCTTCTTCCTTTGGTGCCATTACATATTAGTGAAGTCTGAGAGCGAGCGCTTTTTGTGTCTTCATTTAATGTAGGTTACGTTAAATAACCCAACATGGTCTTGGAGTTCGCAATAGGATATTTTGAGGTATTTTCTTAAAATTCAAGTGAATCAAATTCACCAACACACACACTGATATAAGATCACTTTACCTGTATCTCGCTTTGCATTTCTGCCAGTCTTGTATTCTGTGGATCACGATTAACCACTGGCTTGTTGCGAATGTTTCTAGCCTAAAAAGAAGGGAATATTGTGTGCGGCAATCTTCGCTTTACCTGACGTACCCATAAGTCTTAGTTTAGACTCAGTCTTGCCTTAGTTTCCTTTTCTTTCGCTTTAAACTAAGGTCCAACATACTCACCCTCGTGGCATACTTTAAAGAATTCAAATTTTCCGCAAAGTCTGTTGCACAAGGACTGAGACACGTTATCATCAATGTTCTGGAATTGCCTCCCAAGGAATCTTTTAGCAGTCTTGTTACCTTACTGTCCCTGTATGGAACATGGAGGACCTAAAATGGCAATCAGAAAATGTAGCAAGGTAAAGTTGAAGGTTCACTTCCGGTCATGTAAGTTATGCAGGTCAAATTCTGAATTCTTTCAGACTTATTGTCTGCGAAAAACAGGTTGACAGCAACGAGCCTTTTGAACTGGTCAAAGAATAGAACTTAAGAGTTTTCCTTGCAAGAATAGGGTGGTGCTGGATTGGCACCGCGCTTCTGAGAAAAAACACTAATATCGAAAAAGTTAATCTCAGATGGACTTTAAAGGAGCCAGAATTAAGGGTATTGTAACTGGGAGCAAGCATCGCGGCTTGCAAAGGAGCGACTCAATGAAGAAGACTCAATGGACGATGCACTAAGCACGACTTGACGTTGAAAGGCTAAATTATGATCATTAATTACTTTTATAGTTGCAGTTAACCCGTGAATTTGTGACATTATCTCATCCACAAGGTCAAAACATTACTTATTACCTGTATTCTTCATGTAGATGACATAGATTTAACGAAAAAGACAGAAGCTTTAAGTAACAAGAAAACCATGCGTATTTTGAACTGGTACCGAGTCAATAGGCCTCCATGTCTTGCATGAATACACCTTACTAGTATCATAATACGTTTCTTCGCATACCTTCTTTTTGGAGTCCGCCAGAGCACTAATCACATTTCCCAGCGCTAACAAACCACTGTTAATGTACACAGACTCCTTAAACCTTTCACCGACGTTTCCTGTTCGATGAGCTCTCTCTGAACCAGCAAGATCAACGAAGTGGAACTTGGCATACTTGTAATCCGTGAAGTCTGACAAATAATGAAGAGAAATCAATGATTAGTCTTCAGTGCCCAGCTATCTATTAACAAAAGAGTGGAGATAGGCTAAAGAAAGCGCAGTTTTATCATTTTACCAAGTTAGTAAAGATTGCTTAAAACGGAAATACGATCGAAAAAAAAAACACACACACGCAAACAAGGAAACAAAAAAATACCAAGACATGGGTTATAATAACTTTCTCTATAAGCAGTTGCCGATGTTGTAATAGGGGACTGGGTCCGAAAAGAGGCCATGAGGCGGTACCCAAACACGAGAGGCTTCTCGAGGCTAAACAGACGGTGGTGAGAGGTCTGGTGACTAGCTTTTATTGAAACACCTGCCAAGACATATATACATACATACTAAATTTCTTACCCATGTCGCTCTTTTTCTCACTGTCCACATGCTCATCTTCAGCCAGAGGTTTTTGCTCTTTTTTTCAAGAAATCAAAGGACGCAAGAATGAGGATACGAATAACAAGTAATTTGTGAATGTGAAAAAATTAACGTCATAATCTCATAAATTTAACTCTTAATGTCAATAACTAATCTTTAAATCCATATTAAGCTCAAAAAAGTAGTAATTTGAGGTATTTTTGTCAAAATACTCGCGTGTAAAAGCAAGAGCTCATTACATGATGAAGCAATGGAGGGATATGGGATAACCTAAGTAACAAACGTCCAAAACTTTTCGCGGCTCCGCTACTCGTTTTTGCAAGTGCATCGCTTGTCAACCTAAAACGTTCATTAAAAGACCAGCTACCCAAGCTAGAGAGGAGATCCTTGTGTCTTTGTCTATGCATCTTTCCATTGAAAAGTGGGCTATACACCTAATTTGGGCTTTCCTCCTTCAATCAAAATCTATCGCTAACGCAACCTCGTTCCGAACGAATAAGATTGCTAAGTTGAAATTGCCAATTTTTCAACTTGCCACTTCGCCCTCTTCGCTGCTTAATACTTAGAACTGGACATCTACGTAAAAGTCAATGTCTTTTTAGACTTTTCTTTTACCAACATATAGAGTGAAAATCGTATGTGATCGGCTGGAGCGTTCATTCATATTCGTGGTGCCCACTTGCCGCCCAGCTGATCCTGAGTCCAGGCAGCTCATAACTTCATCTGCTGTGTTCACTGGCTGTTCAGTGGCTCCTACAATAACTGAAACAAGAGAGGAAAAATTCTGTACCTGATAGAGCCATTTTCATTTGCGAGTCAAGAGTAATTCGGTATTGCTCTGGCTTTGCTTTATTTCGCTCTGCGATTGGTCTAGAAATCTCGCGCCATTCCCTAAACCAATAAGATGCGAAACTAACACTAACCGTGATTTGGACACCCGCGTTTTCCCGCGCTTTTGCAAAATTGCCTGTTTTTACTTTGAGTTCCAATGGTATTTTTCTATTTCGATAATCGAAGACAAAAAGCTTCAAATTTTTTGAGATGGAGAAATGAGATTTTTTTTTGGCACAGCAGCCAGCAATTTATAAGAATGCTTTTATACTCAGCCTCCTTTCCAGTGACTTGCAGCAAGATCACTTACAGAGAGCAATTTTCATTTGAGTGAGGAAAATAATCCGAAATTGGTTTGTTTTGACTTTACCTCAGTCTATGATTGGTCCATAAAATTCACGTCACTCTTTCAACCAATCAGATGCAATTATCCAAACCACTCGCGATTTGGTCTCTCACGTTTTCCCGCGCTTTAGGCAATTTTTCGGCTTTACTTTAAGTTCTTACTGACTTTTTAAGGTACCGGACGGGTGTTTCCTTTCTTCGTTTAAGCAGATGATTAAGTTTGGGATATATAACGGCTAACTCTTTCGCTTCGTGCACGAAATTTGGTACAACAAAACTCAACAACACTACGGCAGTAAGCCTTCTGCCGATTGTATCATAGCAGTACCTGTATTTCCCTTCTCATCCTCTCTGACATGAATATCTTTGCTGGATGTATCCATATCGAGTAAATCTCTCAACTCCTCCATGTAAATCTCAACATAGGATACAGTCACAACAAACTCTGTTTTGTGTTTGTTTTCCTGTGGAAAAAAAACCTGGATATGAGTTATTTTGGGGATTATAGTGTTATCAACAGTTTTGAGTGAATAGATGACATCATCATGATCATGAAAATGATTACAGCTGTGGGTAAGTGTGAGTAAAATATTAATTTTTTGCCTGACACCTCCAGAGATGACACCTGGCTATAGATGGCAAACTGGTGGGGTTAAACGAACTTAAATCCTAATAATTATAATAATCATCATCATCATCACCACCATCATCATCATCATCATCATTGTAATCATCATTATTAAGAACTGGATCTTTGGATAATGCAATTCAAGAGTTTTCATTGGCTTAGCCATCATGGGTTATGAGCCATTACACCATGCTCTAGTAAGTGTACACATCAAAAAAAGTTTACAAAATAAAGTTGGGAAGATTTATCGATATTTTTGGGTGTTTTTTAAAATACTTATACCACTCACACTTGTCAGATATGAGGCAATTATACCCAACTCAGCCATATGGACCATGTTGGCTATCTCTCATCTCATATCCAATGCACACTCCTGGAATAATTATTTTTATAATCCTAAAATCATAAATTTTTAACTTAATGTTTTACTTCATCATCTTTTCTTTACCCATTACTCATGACAAGTCAAACATGGCAATAGATTCAATATGGTGAAATAAGAACTATAAAAATTCCTTCCTTGAAGAATCAATTGAAGGTAAATAGAGCATGATGCTAGTTCACTAATGAAATATCAGTTATTTATGAAGTGATACAATCTCTATCTCTGTTGGAATGATAACCTTCTGAGCAAACAGGTGCCCTATGGTGCTTGTCCCTCACTGAGAAGATCTCCTAAAACAATCCACTTTTACTCTAAGGTTTCAATCCCTTAGAGAAAGGTATGACTAAAATCCTGTTACATGATGCTTTGCAAACCCTTTTTGAAAATCCTGCATTTCCCTGTGCTAACATTTACCTCCATAATCTGAAAAAGTTGTTTAACAGCTCTAAGAATGATCCCATACTGTTCTTCCAAAAGGCCAGCACTGTCAGTTCCACCAATTGTATAGGTCTTCCCAGAGCTCTGTCATACAAATAAACATTTAACTGATTGAAAAAGTGTTAGAAAACTTCTTCATTACATGTATGTACATGCTATTTCTTGGTATCTTAGGGTTTACCTTGTAAGAAACTATGGAGTTTCCTTAGTTTGTAAACAAACTTTCACTAAAATTTTCCACCAGTACACTGTTTTGACTTCAATTTACACATGTATGTAATGGGTTCCTACACCAGAGATGGGCTTTATATTGAACACTTTACCTATAAATATCAGATCACATTTACATGTACACACCAACCATGACTTTGCAGGACAATTTTGAGCTTACAGCTACAAGACTTGAGCACAGTAACCTCAAGATTTACTAGTTGCTATTTACAAACCTACTGCTATTATATTAGATGTGGCAATAAAGCAACAAGAATGAACAGAGCATCACAACAGTACTCACAGTTTGTCCATAAGCAAACACAGTGGCATTATATCCTTCCATACAGCTTTTCACCAATGGTTCCACACACTTTTCATAAACCTCTGTCTGATGACAAAGATTAAAGAAAAACTCTTAAAAATCAACAACTTGCCATCTTCTATGAAATATTGAGTTTATTTTTGCATGGAAAAAGAAATAATCAGACATGAAGTATTTTTCCTCAACTTACCTGCCACATGCTCTTTTCCAAAACCCATTGTGAACTTCCTACATCAGCATTTATTACAAAGTTTGTTTGAAAAGCATTCCCATTTAAAAAAGAGCTCTTTAAATGAACACTCCCTGATGGAACTTAAATCATCCAAATGTGTCCCCCCTCTTTGGCATTTTTCTATACCCTTCTTATTAACTCAAAAAGGACAAGACTAAATCTACTGCAACTGGTACAACATATTCTGAAAGATAGTTTTTGACTCTTGTGTAATCTATCATTGGTGATCAGGTCTTTTCTTCTGATTTTAGCCCTTCATTTACATCATCACCCAATTTTGCATGTTAGTTATATACACACAGTACAATAAACATGCACATTGTATCAATAATAAATTCATTACCTGACTTGCTTTTGGAGGGAACACGTAATCAAATGTGAATCCCCGGTCCTTTCCAAGGATCAATTGAGGCTTCTCTGGAATAAAGCGCACACACTGTGGGACATTGTGGACTTTCTCCTTGCCAACCAAAGGGCGTACCTGAGGGCATAACACAATGACATGCTTTGAAAAAAAATTGCTTAGATATTAACCCATTTGAAGGCCCCTGAACTGCTCCTTACTTCCCATGTAATGCAAAAGACTTTTACTGAGTTTGTCTCTCTTCTGTAACAATGGCAAAATACTCTACACTTTTACATTTTTTCATCAAAGTGTGCCCAAGGCGTAAACATTGAAGGATATCAAATGTCTTCTGATTATTCCCTAGATTTTAATGGCATCTTGGTCACATGATGAGTGTAAACCAATTGCACATGAGAAAAAATGTCTAATGATTGTAGTTAAATTGTGATGAGTTACTTAAATAAATCTTCACCAAGGCATTGCATTTATGGGAACTATTGGTAAATGTGACTACCCTGAATATTATCTACCTGCCCAAGTGTTTTATGTCTAAGTGGTAAAATATTCCAAAAAGTAATTGGGGGGTTTACAGGTCCTCAGTTCTGACTTCGCAGTGACTCTCTCTCTGCTTCCAATCGAATGAGCCTTGTGTGACATCCAAAAGAACGGCTGCGAAGGATTTTAATGCTCAAGTAAATTACTTTCAAACACTATTCGATAAAATTAGCCGCCCACGATCTAAAAAATCTACAAAAGTGTTCTTTAGCAGACATGGGGATAAAATTAAATGGTAGGATAAAATAAAATAAATGCAAGGCCAACAATAACCCCCCTAACTTAAACGAGCCAATTAAAAATTTCTTAGTGATTGCCTTGATATGTCAGATCAGTGCGCTGATTTTCATAGCAACGTACCCGAACAGCAACTTTTACTGGAACTTCTGTCATTTTATCAAGTTCGTTGCGATCCAGTACTTTTGAATTCCATGAACACAATGCAATCAGTCAAATCTTCCCTCAAAAATTCCCTTTGTAATTTGGCGGTCAAACAGTCTGACATCCATGTTTGTTTATACCCTAGACTCAGCTGATCAGCGGTATAAACAAATAAGCTCAGTGAATGATGGGTAATAAAAACATGGCTGCCGAATTGAAACTGAAAGGGTTAGAGCTGTTTGGGAATTTTCAGCGCACTAAATCATAGAGCGCCTCGCGATTTGAAGCAACGCTTCAGTGATTGTTGCCATAGTTGAGCTATTTCATCCAGAGGCCATCGTATAGACATACGAAATAACTCCAAAGTGGGAACCCCGACAAGGTACAGATCGCAACATATCGGCAACCGCAGACACGTTGACGTCGCACGCAAATGACGGTATGTGAAACATACAAAATACTTAATCGTGCCAGATTTGATACTGCATATCTAGAAGAGGTATTTTTCAATACATTGTCATATTTTCTGTAGTAATTTCCGAGTTCTTCCCAAATGTTATTTTATTTCAATGATTTCTTTATTCTTTTTTTTCGAAACTGAAAGAAATTACTTCGGGGATTTTTTAATAATTTACACTCAGATTTTTCCCATTTTCTTATTGAAGGTCTTTCGCTTTTGAACTCGACGTCTTAAAAGATCCTAGGCGAGCTTTCGTTTGCAGAAAGGAAAATCGAAGGAGGAAAGCAGTTCATAACCCTTTGGTCCTTTAACAAAATTGCCTGCTAGTATGTTTCGCTCCTTTTCTCAGCTGTCTTTGAAGAAAGCGAATTGTAAGTAAGATTTTACGAAACAGTTTACTTCCGTTTCCTAGTTCGTTAAAATACCTCGTGGCAAGAGCTGTGGATTTGAGCATTTGGCATTGTTAAGTTTGTTCTGCTCAGGCTTTACGTCCATATGTATAAATAGAGTATAAATATCCCATTTATCGAAGTATCTCTTTCCTGTCAAAGCCATCGCTGGATCCAATTCAATGTTTCTTCCAAGCTATAGCATTCTATAAATGTATTTTTGTCTTTTGTAAAGAAAAGCAAAGTGAATCAATTCTAAACTGAGAGATATTGTTTGAAAGTATAATGGCAATGAACCATGAGAAATGGATTTGTTCCCATCAAATTAAAGGTGGTAACTGCCTCCATTACATCTTCTGTCATATCTTTTTCTGTTTTTGGTGTGCCATTCTTGATGCTTTTGGCTTTTTGCATGACAAATGTGTAATTTCAGACAAATTGATAAAAATCTTTTTGTAACTCCTTTAATTTGGGATCCAATTTGTAGAAGTTTTTTGTCCTTCCCTTTAGTCTAACCATTTTTTTTATGGATTCAGCCCCACTTTCTTTAACAGTTGAACCCCCATAACTTGAACCCTGGGTAACTTGAATTCCTGGCTAACTTGAAGCAAAACTGATTTCCCTAGGAATTGCCTCATATTTTTACTGTAATTTTAACCCCCATAACTCAAAACCCTGATAACTAAAAGCAATTTTTACGGCCTTTCAGGTACTCTTCTTTGTAATTTTACCCTTGATAACTCAAAGTTAATTTTCACTTTTTGCAGACTAATGAGCCATAACATTTTGCACTGGAAATACTTATAATCTCACTTACATATTATGACAAATTGACCTATGTTTTGTTTTGTTTTGCTTTGTTGTTTTTATGTTCTTACATTGCTAGAAATCTTACACTAAAACATGTATAAGCACAAAACCTCTTAAATCAAGTTTTTTCTGTTTTTTTTTTGTCCAAAACCTCTCTAACTTGAAACCACAATAGCTTGAAATAATTTCTGTTTCCCTAAGTAATTTGAGTTAGCTGGGTTCAACTGTATTTTAACTACCCACACCCCTTCTTTGTCAGTGCAAGTAAATTCTTGCCTGAAGTTTGATCTTTGTTTAGTTTTTGTACCAAAAATGACTCCTCAGATAGTTTGTGAAACTTTTTTCCAATGTTTTTTTTGATCAAAGTAGTGACAAACTTCCTGTTTCTTTTCATTTTTTTCAGGCACCTCAACAGAGGGTAAAAATATCAAAGAGTGTCTCGAAATTGGGGAAATAGATGAGGAAGGGCTGAAGGAGAAAGTTGATGGTCTTAGAGAAATTTCATCTACAGGTAATCAACTAAAAGCACTGACTCGGCCACAGTCAGGAGATAGAGAAATCAGTACTCTTCAAAAGCAGATTGTAAATATTATTGAAAGCAAACCATATCCGTGTGCTCTTAGTGATATTCTGCACAATATTTCCATCTCTGCCACTGAAGAAAAAGTGAACAAGTGTATCAATCAACTGGAACAGGAGGAAAGGATCATAAAAGTCCTGCAAATGCCTCCTATGTGGAGAATTGCAGAAACAACCGAGGAAGGCAAGGATGACGATAAAGCGGCAGAAGATATGCCACCATTGGAGACACTAGTGCCGGACTATGAATCAGATGAAAGTGAAGAGGGAGTAGAAGCAAAGCGGATATCATCCACTATTAGTCCTGCAATTAGTCAGAGTAAGCGTCTTCCGATCACAAACCATGGTGGATCTCTTCAACCTAGGCAGTCTATATCTGATCCTCTCTCAAGCCGAAAGGGAAGCGCATCGTTAGCAGGAGGTCCTCCTCCGCCTCCCTCGGCTCATTTCTACAGCGCCTTGATGTCACAGTGTTCTAGGAAACCAAGTCCAGTTGTCATTGCAGCCAGGCCAACCTTTTGCTCTACGTCACGTCCAAATCTGCACTCCACAAGGTCTCAACCACCTCGTCCACCGATACAATCTTTAGTTCCACGACCAAGTCGACCTTCAGCGGTAGCATCACGATTTTCGCCACAATCACTCATGGATCTTGAAACGCCCTTGAACTCACATGTTGCTTTTAAAATGTCATCAAACTCTGATGCTGTCAACCTACCTGATACACGAAAAAACCGAGGGTATCTTAGAGAGACCAACGCTTTGCAGGAGGACGGAACCACGAGTTCTCCAAACGAGTCATCCAACGTTAGTTCAGTTCCCTTCACACAGCCTCAAGTGTCCCATTCTATGAGTGGCTCATTTGGGTATGGATCAACTCCACAGAAGAAGCCGCCATTAGCACAACAAGCTCTTGCTATGTCTTTCCACAATTCTTCGCATGCTTCAGTAACTCAGGGAGCTGATAGGATTCCTCTCCCCCCTTCAGCGGAACGTTTCCGTGAGCTGGTCAGCCGTGGACCCCAGGCAGTTCCAACATCGACCAAGAGCCCCGTAGCTTGTACACCTCATCAAGCTTCAACGCTAAGTGACCTCGAAGCGGGGGTGCTGGACTTAATGAAAAGAGAAAGAAAATCTTTTCAAACTCTTCATTTGGCCCGGCAATTTGGTCTGCACAGAAAGAAGGAGATCAACCCAACTCTTTACAAACTGCAGTCGTTGGGCTTGATTTACAAGATGCACGAACATCCACCAACGTGGAAGGTGCGTCAAGAAGTGAGTTCTCTGACATTCAAAGGTTTAAAGCCGGGTGAGGTCAGCTCTTCTGCACCTGCCCAGAAAAGAGCATTTCCCACTGCCGATGAGCAAGGACATGAGCAGTTAGGAGCTAAGAAACACTTTCAGCCAGCGGATACTTCTCCGGCTCCTCCCGGGAGTGGGGTGGGTGTCTTTGGGCCTTCCCAGCGAGGAACGCTCTCGCCCAGCTTTAAGAGTAACCCAGTGGCACAACCTGCATCTTCCCTTGGATCAGGAAAAAATCCTCCAGACGTTCTCTCCAATGTCGCTTATTCCGCCATCAACAAAAATCCCGTCAGTGCTCTCAACGAGTACGTGCAAAAGAATAGAATGGAGCTGACGTTCGAAACACTTAGCCAAGGTCGTGCATTTGTGGTTGCTGCTAAGATAGACGGAAAACTATTCCCTTCGGCAGAAGCACGAAACATGAAAGATGCAAAGCGTGAAGCCTCAGATGTTGCTCTGAGAACCTTACTGGGTCGCAATATGAACGAAGGTATCGAAGAGGGATCTTTGGCCATCACTGACCCTTCTGCAAGCGTTTTGAGCAAAGTTAGCACGCATTTTGATCTGATAGCTGCACTTTCACTTCATAAATTCTTGCAGATTGCAGCCTCCATCTCCGAAAAATTTGCTGGTAGAAAGGTTGTGGCATGCATGATTATGAAAAATAGCCCAGAAGACTCTGGCCGAGTTGTTGCCGTGGGAACTGGTAACCGTTGCGTTACTGGAGAGAGGCTGAGTATGGAAGGAAAAGTGGTGAACGATTCTCATGCTGAAATTGTTGCTCGTAGGTCTCTGATGCGATTCTTTTACAGACAATTAAATAGTTACTACGATGGAAATGATTCTATTTTTGTACCGAAAGAGGGGTCAACGAAGCTTGATGTTCGCGAAGGTGTCTCATTTCACCTTTACATCAGTACAGCTCCGTGTGGTGACGGTGCCTTGTTCACTCCCCGAGAGGAGCCCAACTCTGACCTCTCTGAATACTCCAAAGAGCATAATCCTATATTTACAACCAAGCAACAGGGCATTCTGCGAACAAAGATCGAAGATGGCGAGGGTACTATTCCAATTGATTCATCTGATGGTATTCAAACATGGGACGGGCTTTTACGAGGTAAACGGTTACGTACCATGTCGTGTAGTGACAAGATTTGTCGCTGGAACGTTTTGGGACTTCAAGGCGCACTTCTTAGTCACTTCATCGAGCCGGTTTACCTAACTTCCCTGACACTTGGATACTTGTACGACCATGGTCATCTCTCGCGCGCAGTTTGTTGCCGCCTTCAACACAACAGTGACCTCAACGCGCAGCTGTCGCCTCCACATCACGTGAATCACCCGTGGCTTGGTCGTGTTACCGCATACGACCCACCGCGTGAAACAGAAAAGACAAATAATCTTAGTGTTAATTGGTCAATTGGAGACACGGGCGCTGAGGTCACTGATGGTAGAACGGGAGCATGCATGTCACGAACAAATAACAGCCCCACTCCTTCGCGTGTATGTAAGGCCGCGCTTTATACATCTTTCAAAGAAATTGGTACCAAAGTCGGTCGTGAAGACCTGGTGAACGTTGAAACATACAGTGAAGCAAAGAAGATGGCGACTGAATTCCAAAGAGCGAAGCAGATGATGTACGAGTATTTTAGCTCATCGAAGTATGGGTCATGGGTAAGCAAACCCATGGAGCAAGAACTATTTTAGTTTTTCTTCTGTCGTTTGCTCTGCTGCTTTAATATATGATAGACAGTGATTTGCGTTATACTTGATAAAAGCGTTCCAATTGAGGTTAGGAGCTACCTTAAATGGGCGGCCCAGACTATCACGTGATGTAGACGCATTGAAAACGTCAAGAAATCAAGGTTGTGCAGCTCTTCATGACGAGCTGCGTTGCCAAGATTAACAAAATTTAATGGTGTCATGTTAAACAAGTCTTTCCAAAACGCAAGCGTCATTAAATACAGTTCGGTGTGTATGATAACTATACAAATTATACAGTTTAGAAGGAACGCTCATTAAAGTTCATGTTATAGTTTTGTCATCATTTCAGTTTCTTTCAATTTTCTAGTTCTGCTATGGCTCATGTGCCCGTTGACGTGTGCATGGGTGTTCATTTGGGAAACTCTATTCGTTGTGATATGCCCATTGCCATTCATGTCAGAGTTCACGTGACCCAGCGGCTGTTCTTGAGAGAAGCAGTATTCGTTGTTATGAAAACCAAGCTCCACTCCTGTGATTCTCTCAACTCTCGCATTAGCAGCCGCAATATCCCAGCTTTCCTTTCGATGGCGTCTGAATATAAACGAATATTGCATTTTGAGATGTGCTTCTTCACCTTCCTTCACGTTCAAAACAAAGTTCTTCATGAACTTTCCTATTGCACCGAGACGGTCGCCAAACTTCATTATGGCAATGACTACGCCGAACTCCAAGAAAATCACCAGTACGCAGAAGGCAATAACAATAACTACTGTCATGAACAAACCGCTCAGATTTATTATCTCAAGCTGTTTGAATGGTTTTAAATCGCAGGTCTTTTTGTTGAACCATCGCCGTTCTATGGTTTCTATTGCCCCGTTTTCTTGGTGTTTAAGCACCGCTTGATTGATATCTTGTAGCCATGGTGAAGCCTTTGGCAGCGCTATCCCCAATCCAAAGTTGAAAAAGTTTGGTCCAGCTAAACTGTAGGAACAGTCAATGTCGTTATTAGCGACCTGGCTCAACGAAAGATGATCTCCGACCAATCCGTGGATTTCCCTTAAAAGTGAGAAGAAAAATGAGAATTTAAAACGGATAAACCCTAGAAATAAAAATGTGGTGGTAATTCCAATGATACTAATTGAATTCGGATTTGTTTGGTTAGTTTTTTCCTTTCGTTTTCTTTGTGCCTGTGTTTACATTTCCGTCCTTTTTTCCTTCACGAGGAGCTGTGTCAGAGATTTGTGCATCACTTATCTACCGTCGTCCTACTAGCACTAGCGGCTAACTCCACGCGATATTGAGGTTTGATGAGTGCCCTTTACCCTTTCACTTTTGTGCCAAGTCTTGCGCGTTTTGAAGAAAAATTACATTGAGACTATGTTGTGGACATGTCAGGATTTGCTCTCCAGCCCCTGCGTACCCCCATTTTGTGATCTTAAAACTAAAAGTCGTTTTATCCAGTAAAAACTTATTTTAACCTTAACTAGGAACTGTAATCCTTCAAAATTCATGAAATTACACGATACTCAAATATTTCCAAAAAAGTGCATAAAGACCATTTGCAATCGTGATGCTTAATAGGCTTTCAAGATGTACATTATGACCTGTGTGATCACAGATCACGACCCACTACATTAGGACTTCAACACGATCAAAGTGTGTTATTCATTACGTATGCGTCAATTATTCTACACGTGCATACTTGAGAGCAAGTTTTCCCGAGAGAGACATGTGACAATGAAAAACAATGCTCATACATATGCACGAACCGCAGTGGAGTGCGGTTCGCATAATTACACACTTTGATCGCTTTGTTGTCGTCACGAGTTTCAGCATTATACCAAACCTGGTGACTTTCGTGTAACAACCCTCAAAAGCACGTCGTGTGTCGAAAACCACTGCTGAGGCATGCCCAGATTCATGGCTATACAGAAAGTTCTCTTTTGTTTACCAACATAAATTCTTCTTGTCTCTTTTCAATTTGTCTTACCTGTTTTTTAATTTTTCAAGGCCATCTGCGAAATTTCTCACAAAATTGACTTGTAAGTTGACGTGATAAATTTCACGAAACATGTCCTCGCTGTGAAATTTAAAATAGCTCTCTTCTTGGGAATTTTCTTGTACTCCAAGCTTGAAACCATTGGGCGGCATGAGAGACGGATGTCGAATCTGTAGCAAGTGACAGATATAGAAAAGGCTGTAAGTCACAGTTTCACGGTGACCCTTTCCCTTTTCACAGGCCTGATAAAGAGGTATTAAGGGAACAGTGATTATCTATCCCATAGGAAGGGAGGATTCTAGTGAGACCACATGGTTCTCAGGGGGATTAGGAAGGGATCAGTCCGCCGTCCCCAACAGGTTATAAAGGGGTGACCATAAAAATTTGATGCCAATTAACTGGCAATGAGGGGAGATCATAACAATGTTACAGTGCGTTACTATCGGAGAGCAGGTAAATTTCTATCGTGACACAATTAAAATCGTCCAAACACACCTTACCGAAAAATGCCTGACCCAAACACAGTGAGAAGTTATGTGGGAAGTTGAAGTCGAATTAGTGAATATTGATATTGAAATTAGTTTGCTTCATAATTTTTTATTAGTTCATGTTAAAGTTAGCATCAAATTAAAGGTTCGCCAGTCTTTGTTAGAACTGGATATTGATCGGAAAAAATTACCTTTTCGTCCCGTATTCCGCTGATAGGAAGTACAAACTCCTCTTGGACTAAAAAAGCCATTAGATTTGCGCAGTAAGTATTGACGACAATTAAAGCAAATAATGCAAAGAATGTAGAGACACATCTTGCACTACTGCTATGGGGTGTCTTTTCAGCACCTATGTCTTTTCCGAACGCAACTCCCCATACGTATGTCATAGAGTCTGTTGATACGAAGTAAGTGTGATGATATATAGTGCTACACTGGCATCAAGATCAGAGCATTGTAAACTACTATTAGAGCTAATATGGAACTTTTTATTTCCACATATGTGCGAATTGGCCCTTCCATCTCAAATAATTTGAATGAAGGATGAAATTTAAAAGGCGCTTCGTTACCATATCACTGTGGTTCTTTGTTGTAAGATACAAATTTCCTCCAAAGCATATGCATATGAGACCAAAAAATAACCGTTTGATGAGAGGGAATATTCCCAAAACGAAAAGAATGTAATGGCAAATGTTAACTTAAAAAGCATGAGAAATATACATAACAACTTAGTTTAAATAAACAAACACAAATAATTTCAGAACTAAGGAATTAGATCAGTTGATGTTACTGAACAGTCTATACTGAAGGAGGCTTAGGGAGAATAATAAGTTTAAAGTTGGAACTAGAAATGAAAACAACAACAATAATATACCTAGTAATGTGAAACCATCGTCTCCGCTATCAACTTGTCGATAATGTCCATATGGACTCTTCCGGTCAATCCACCAAGTTACAAGTAAAATGATGTTGATAAATCCGAGTATGAAGAACCACAGTTCATACTGAAAAGGCTCCAGCCAAGAACTCCACTGAATTTCTATGCAACAAATCAGGTTTTATGATAAGCTGAATGACACATGCATTTTGATTGGTTCTTGCCTATGACTTATGGGTGATCATATGATAAGCTGAATGATGCAAGGATTTATATTGGTTCAATAATGCAAGGTCTCGGTTTTGATTTCATGTTTCCAAATCTTGTAACAAAAGCTACATAACACCTGTCATTAATTCTAGATAGATGATGAATGAACGCAGCACCAAAATTATTTGAGTTTGATTTCTAAAAATTGTTTTATTATCTTTCTTTCTTTATTTGTCCGAAAAAAATTGACTCTAAAGGTCCATCCTGTTGGTGTTCACTCAATTGATAATGGCAAAAATGGTAGGCAGAGGAAGACATCGGTAGTAACGAGTCCTCTTGACAGACGTTTCCCCGCTCATTGGACCTATCAACTAATTTTTAACGGGCTGTGTAGAGTCTAAATTTCTACAGGTATTCTCACGTCAATCCATGATCAGGTAAGAAGAGTCGTTTTCCTTAAAACCAATTTGATGACAGTTAAGCTTGAAGTGAAAAGACAGTTTGTTGATTGTTTCTACCATGATGATGATTACGATCGTGATTTTTTCATCATTATTATCATTATCATTAATATGTTTGACCACCTTAATTATCCTGGAACATTTTATTTTCATCATTAAACAAAGAAACCTCGTTAGCCTCACCGTCATTTACTCGCAAATCCTTCAAAACCAAAATGTTCAAAGCGACGTGGACAAAAGGTTGAGCGAAGTCAAGGTACTTTGCTCTTATGGAATTTACTGATATGTCAATGGCGAAATCCGCTTGTCCTGATACCACCTCCTGAACGATTCCATTCCACATACCCTTGTTCTCGTCAAAATCGCCGTAGTTACCATCTGGAGTGAAGTAGATCTCGCTCTGAAACCCCAACTCGTTCTGCATCATGACAAGCAGATCGATGGAGACACCCGAGCAACAAAGAGTACTCTTTTTGATTCTGCTTCCGTTGTGATATTTGTAACAAAGTTGTCCTCTTCCGATACAATAGTAACTCCCCCTGCCATCTATGCGAGAGTCCTCAATTTGGACCCAAGGACTGTACTCATTCACAGGAACTCGCACCACATGTGTCATTGGCACAGCAGGTGGGGTGATAGTGCTCCCATTTGGGATCCTTACGGTGTCAAGCGCAAAACCACTCGGCGTACTCAGCCCAACAAGGGTCCAACATTTTGCACCATTTTTATCACCTCGAAGGTTCCATATTTCAAATGATGTCGTTGATTTCTTGTGGAGTGAAGGTTCCACGAACAGAGAACTTAAGCCTTCAAGGTATGAATCTTTTACGTTCCTTGCATGTTAAAAAAGAAAACAATACGTGAGAAGAAATAAATTAGCTCCAAGGACGTTTTGGCGTAAAACTGCTGCTGAATACTAAGTTTAACCTTGTAACTTTTACTTATGTCATTTTTAATTCGCCAAAGGAGACCCGTGTGAGAATTGACTAGGACGAAAAGACCTAGCACTAGATAACTATTTCATCAAACCAAATACTCCATTACCCAGCCACATGACTTCACAACGATCTTTGTTACCAACTAAAATTATAGAGCCTCTATCGGTGGGAACATAGTCACGTGAAAACAAGAAAAAATTAAAAAAGATGTTTTTCGTATTGTCACGAGTGTGTGTGACAAAAAAATCTTTCTCCATTTCTTTACTGAGCTCAAGACTTACCATCCTTCTTTCTCTGTTTACAAACATAACGCCATTGATCCTAGCAGTATGCAGGACGCGTGTCATACATTACCTTCGTAATGGGCCTTGCTCACAATAGAGTCTCTGCGGCTCAGTGGTAGAGCATCGGAGCGCGGAATCCGAAAGTCTGAGGTTCAATTCCTCATGGGAACTCAGAATTTTTCTTTGTCCCACGCACGTGACTTTCTATGTTTCTTTACCGAGCTCAAAACTTATCATCTTTCTTACTGTACTTAAGAACATATCATATGACTGGATGTTGTATCAGTAGCTTTCAGTTCCGTGAAATATACACTTATCCCGGATAAGTGTAGATTTCTCGAGTTAGTAAAATTAAAGCAGAGGAGTTTTCTCCCCTTTTTCGGCGAAACAACTTACCTATAAATTAGACTCCCAATATCTCCATTGTATTCATAACAAACATTTTCAGTAATCCGATGTAAGTCCATCCCAAGCGCTTTTTGCAATGCAGCTTGATAAAGGAGAAGAGCATCGTAAATAGCGTCTGAGTAAAAAGTAGAGTCAATATTCTCACTCCTGGCGTTGATTCTTATCAAGCCATCTGGAAGGATGTTAACATTTGATAACCCAAACATCGTAACATCAGTAACAACCCATAAAGAGTGCGAAGTGTTGTTTTCCGTCAGCAGTTCAAGCAAAACTCCATTGTCTTCATTTCTGCTGTGTACCACTACAACGTCGCTTTGAAGAAATGGTAGAGAAGCTGAGATATTTTTAATTGACGGCACATTATTCTCGACAAGCCAAAATATCTTGTTGATAAACCATTTCTCCTTTTCTGCCACTTGAGTCATTGAGTCCGCAAGTTCTTGTCCATCTGAATCAACGGATAACACCAAGCAGAGACTACGTCGTTCTGTCTTTTTCATGAGCTCCCAAATAATCTGAGCATAATACTTGACCGATGGTAAAGCAACTCTCGTAAAGTCGGCAGGACTCTCCTAATAAACACACGGAAATGAAAATCTAGGAAATGGTACAAATTTTACATCTGTGCAACTGGCCCACACTAGGCATCATCTTATCCTCGACAACTTGTAATAAGGTTTAGCTGTTTGTTGATAACAACTTTTATCTTTTTTTTGGTTTGTTAGAGAAGTTGATTCATATTTGGATGAAAGGCCTATGATGAGCCGAACGGTTACAAGGCTAAATGGATTTTAAATTTTCTTGTTAAGACTCTCCTGAAATTTTTATCTGAGCACTTTAGCTGTCAAAGAAAGTTCTCTTTTTGATTTTCTTTAATACTGTACATAGTCATACATTTATATTAGCAAAGGAAACTTTAAGGCTGAGGAAATAAATCATTAAAAGCTTGCTTGTGAATAATGAGCATTCGAAACAGTCTTACAAGATAAGGACCAAGCAAAAAAGAAAAATAAAAATATATTTTTCGGTTAGGAGGTTTTTCAGCCAAGGTGTATGAATAATTTAGTTTAGTGAGACAGTACTAATTATGATAATTAGTAACAACGGAAAGAATCATATTTGTGAAAAGAGCACTTTAACTCAAGGTTAAGAAAAATATCAAATAAATTTAAAATAACATGAGAAAAACAAATGCAAATCGAAAACCTGGCAGAACAAAACTTACTGTTTTTAAACTCCTTTAATTAAAATTTACAGGTGTTGATGGAATAAAGAGACTGCTTCAAATAGTGAGATATGTTTGATACTGTTACTCCATCATGACGACGGATCCGATGTGAACGCCATTAAATACTTAGAAAAAAAAATTTTTCATAATTCTTCAGATACTCGTCAGAGAATCAAAGTTGATGAAATAATTCATCTGTTAGGAGTCTAAAAAATCAGCTGGATTTAAATAAAGTGGATTTGCATATCTTTGAGTCGTTACAATTAACACGAAAATTTTTTGAGAAAAATGCGTCCAAAAATCGATAAAAATGAAACGGAAATAGAAACACAAGATGCCAGCCTTTCCTTGGTAAATTCTCTGAGAAAACTGGTTTTAATTGAGGGGCGAGGAAAAGGAATCATCGTGTGGTATATAAATCTTCGCTAATTTGCATTACGGTTACTTCCATCCATCAACAATTCGGTCAAGGAAAAGCTTTCGTAATTGTTACCAGCTTTGAAAAAAAAAAAAACAGCGAACATTATGATTAAGTGATTTTATTGGTTTTTTCGGGTTTGTGAATCCGGTTGTATGATTATATGTATCCCCCCCGAAAAAAACAAATAAAACTAAATGCGACGCTTTGGTCAACATTAAATATTTTGGAATTAAGCCTCTAACCTTGGTTTCATTTTGGTTAGACCCTCCAAATAAACAGAAAAAAATTAAAAGAAAGCCGGTGATTTTTTCACTAAGAAAATATGAACTTTAAACTGTTCGGAAGAAAATCTTAATCAGGATTGATGTACTTTTTATCTCGTGGTCTCTAAGGGACCGTAATGAATGAGATCCTCGATTTGTTCAGTGATAATTTAAAGATTGTCCTAGCATTTTAAGAAAATCTTCTACCCGCTAGCTACCACTGTGTACCTGTGTTCTCGGTTGTCCCTCGCTTTGAAAGATCCCAATGGTCGGGAAATCCAATTCCTCCAAAAGTGACGAAGTATAAAGGGCATCAACGTTGACGTCCACAAAAATGGCACCCAGAGTCTGCGATGAAATATTCCAGATCTGAGAGAGAGATCCTCCGCTGGCACCAATTTGACTGAGCGCTATCTTATTGCTGTCAATGGGCAAAGGATTTAAATAAACCTCTGAAGCTTCCTGCTCAAGAATAATCTTGCTCCTCGGTCTGTTAGCAAGGAACAAGGATTCTGCCCTTTGTACAATGTTCCGCATGTACCTACTCGAAGCATTGTAGAATATAACGACATCAGATACAATTTTCCCATTACTGTATAACGCTAAAATACTTTCTCTTTGAGTTACAAGCAGAATGAGTAACAAAAAAATGCTGCGAGAAGTCATCACTAAATCAAATTAGTACTCTCCAATCTCGCATTTCACTATTTCAAAATTTCCATCGATTAGCTGTGAATAAATATGCTGTCCTACGGGCAAAAATTCTAAGTTCACCTAATTTCCGATGCCACATGAATAATTACTTGCAAACGAGACTTTATGACATAAATTTCAATCTGTATGAGAGCATAACCTTGAGTCTTCAGAAACGAAACAAAACTAATATTCTTGGTATCGAGACAGACAATAACAAAATTCTCCAATGACGGGCTGGAAAGGCTTTTGAAGGTTTCAAGAATTTACTGTGTTGTTACAAAACCCACGGGATCTCCTTCTGTTTTCCTTCTGTCTGACGCAAAACATGCGAGGCGTAAGTTCGATTAAATTTGGCGTGCAAAAATAAAAAAAGTAATTTAAAATACTCGACATAATATAAAAACATTTTTTTAATATCAGGGGGATCACTTTCCCAGACTTTCTCGTTACTACAATATTAGGTATTAAGCTTTGCCTCAAAAAAATTTCATTTGGTTTTGACGTCCGGCTCTATTTACGTTCCTTGTGATATCGTCCTGTCACCATGGGCCCCGTTTAAACCGCTGATTTGATCTGCATCGGGAAAAGCTGCTATTTAACGGTGTAAATTCAACAGCCGTTAAAGGAACTTCTTTTGTACTCAAACCAACGTCTACAGTTTAGATCAATACCCATTTATTCAAACCCCTTCATTCAAATTCAAATCAGACTTGCTTGAATAAGTCTTGTTTTAAAACAACAATTATTGAGCATTTTAATATCCAAATCAATAACTTGCGTGACCGCTATAAACAACATACTAGGTATCGCTTCAGTTGATAATCGCATCCTTGTAGAGTGGAAATTTTGATTTTTGTTTTCTCATATCAGGTGGTGCGGAAAATTTGTTTACGTGTAGTAATTGAACTAATGCAGATTTATTTAACTTCCTGTATTTTGGTGGAAAATAATGGCATACAGTTCATTGCGATTGACAACCTTCTTGACATCACATCACTAGCAGATACCATTTCTTTTAAAATTGGATTCTTTACCGAGCATTTGAGCACAATCGTTTAACGGCATCTCGTGCTCCCTCTGCGAATATCAGAAATCTATAAAAATTACTCCATAATTTTATGAATTGGAAAAAAAATTATGCCGAATAAATAATGAGGTAGTACCAAATATAACAAAGCCTTTTATACCAAATACGAGTTTCAATCGTCCAATTTAAAAAAAAATGCATAAGCTTGTAAGAAAAATATATAGGAACAAATTTTGAGTATCAATGAACAAAATTCTTTTTTAGGTGAGAATTAAAGTCATCTTCTATGCAAATCGATCCAATTTTTCCATCAATGGTGTTTTTTTCAGATTGCAAAGTGTAAATAACTTCTGTCATGTCGCTTTTGTTTCTTATTATCAAAGGAATCACATTCCGGGGTTTTCACTTTGCGGGAGCGGATTTAGTAATTTTCAATTTCCTATAGATGTTAAATATGGAAAAATCTACCTAATTTACTTTGTGTTAATAACCATTTTACTTTGTTGACGCAAATCAAGGCAGGCGATTTAAAAAACGTTTTTTCTTTCTAGAACTTCTGTTTTGATTTTTGTACTTATGTTTATTTTTGAGGGCCCCTTAACCGTTGAGAATTTTTTCAATTTTCTCTTAATTTTCATTTAATTGTATTCTTTCGTCGAAGATAATTTTACTCTCCTTATTAAACAAATACGCGCTGCATAATTCTGTACAGAATTGTTCTTGTTTTTGCTTTTCAAAAATACACCATCTTTTGTTTGTTTGTGTATCAGTCTGCACGAGTAAAAGATAAAGATTGCATGAAAAGGCGGCTAAAGATTAACGAAAAATTTTTAAACACGTTTGTTTTGAAAAAACTGCTGCGCGTCGAAGGACAAACCTCGCCAACCTCCTTCCTCTCGAACTGCCCCAAGACAACTATCATTTAGAACTAAACGAGGAAAGGAAAAGTGCTCCGGAGGTAAAACGACCCATGTTCAAGCCATCATTCTGGCCTTTTACAAACGACTTGGTTTGTTTAGAAACACAACTGTGACAAGCTACTGTTGTAGCAAATCTGATCTATAATTCTATCACAGTTAGCAGAGAGAGTTGTTTTGTAAGCCGGCAAATATCAAAAATTAAAACAGCGGTGTAGAAGGTTGGTTTGGAAGCTCCTGACCACTCACATCTTTTTTTTCTGCGACCACACGTGGTTACCAAATAAATGATTGGAAAGTTTAGATTGTTTAGAATAGTTCTGAATCTATAGAGATTAGCAGTGTAAGGTCAGAAAATTCATGACAATATGGTAAATCTTTGCAGTCGTTTTTTTCTTTAATTACTGCATTCTATTAACTACAATAATGGTACCCTGGTAAATGATATTGGAAGGATTGCCAGGCATGAGCTTAAAGATTATTTTATAAAGAATTTCTTCGGGCGAAAATCATGCGGTTAAATTTTAATATGTTTGTCTCTAAATTCGCGTAACTGGTTTGAATTTATTTATGACAAAGAAATGGAAAACTGCAGACTACAAAGGCCACCGACCTGAAAAAACAATCAAGAGTTATTATATGCATTGTTTGATAAGATCTAAAAGTTTAACGGCACTCTGACTTCCTAGGAGTTATTGGAAATGCGCGTGAGATGACAATATCGTACAGTGCATCAATGAAACCGGAGCCGCCGAAACAAATAAGCAAAAAAGATGCAAAAGAAAAGAATAAAAAAACAATCACCCACACGCAATTTAAATTTGCGAGCTTTCAGCCGTTTTCATGAATTGGTACTCCTACAACCCACTTGCAAGCTTTACGAATGCACTAAAAGCTTACTGATTTTAAAAAGTTAACCAACCCTGTAGTCCCATTCACATCACTGGTCAAAGAGGCTAAGATCTTTTTTCGTACTCGATATTTAATTGGCTGGATTACAAGGCACATCGGAGTATCTCGTCTTATTTCTGCCCTATGTTTTCGTATTGCATGAGTGACCCTCAGTAAGTAGATCATCCCCTACTTTATAGAATATGCTGCAAATCTGCGTGGAATTTACATAGTTCAACGGCCTAGCCTACCACGAATCTCCCACAACCCAGTTCAAGAGATTATAAACAGTTTATAATCCCTTGCTCAGTAATCTACCACCGTCCCGATTAGTACATCGGATCTTCGTATGATCCGAAGTACTAATCGGAAAGGTAGTAGATTACACTCCTACAAGGAACACTCAGCTCGGAGTTCTTTCTTGCGACAGTTGGATTCATCCTCTTCTGAATGTCACACTACTAAAGGTGTCATTCTCTTGGCCGCCCCTACAGCCACTGTAATTTTTACCGTCACTTTTAAACACAATCAAGTAATGTTCACCATCAATTTCACTCACACTATGCTCTGCACCTTATCAGTGATGCCCCCACCCCCCGTATTTGGTATGTAAAAAAAAAGAAAGCCTGCCCTCAAAACAGTAAAAAAGAAAAAAAACCCTTCACTCTAAATGATTCTCTGCACCTCCCACCAGTCACGAAATTGGGATTTGGGAACCCTTTCTCAATGAAAGGCTGTAAAATTATACCAACTGGAGCTACGTATTTATTGTTGGCTAAATCTATATTATTTACAGATAAAAAAAATGTTCGATTTGTAGAGCACGTCTTCTCTCTTGTTTCCGTAAATAACTAATGTCACTGTGACAGTTTCTTCAAAGCATCATCGTTTTCTTTCCGCACAGACACGAACAATCTCCAGTCTGTCTCTTTGAAAAATTATGGCGCGTGGAAGAGACAGTTCAGTAACTCAGACACCACCAGAACATTGAGGCTGTTTCCTAGCAGGCGATATTGTTGTTTGATCGACAAAGACGAAGGGAAACCTGATAAAGTAAACAAAAAAAGTGAATGACGGTAAGTAAAGCTCCAAGTAACAATACGGCGACTTCAGTCCCTCAGGGATCGTAGATTCTAAAATGGAAGGCAGTTGGTTTTTGTATCATGTAAGTTAACCGATGACAAAAAATAGGCGTAAAATGTATTCGGGAACCTATTAAAACAAGAAAGAGAGAGAGATGGTTGGCAAACTAATAAGATACATAGCGAGCAATCAATAAGAAATGTTCTTGCAGGTATTCCGTCTAATAAATTATACTAGGATGAAGGCATGTAAATATAACGTTCCTTCGTTTCCTAAATCATTGACAATTTACTGCACTTTTTGTGAGTGCTTTGTGTTAGGTTTTGTATTCTGTTGTTGTCGCTGTTTTTTGGATGGGAAATAAAGACATAAGATGCGTGTGCCATCATGATTGAAAGTAAAAAACAAATGATTGATAATACTCACGAAACTCGAAGGGGAAGCCATGCAGATTTGCCACCTCACGTGGGGTAAAATACCTCAATTTCAATATTGACAAAAGCTCTGCTTTTTGTCTATCATCTGTAAGATCCTGGTATCTTCTGAAGATATCTGAGTCCTACGAAGGATAACAAATGTCTGTTACATTGATACAGTCTTTCGTGATAGGAAGACGGTAACTTGGTCTGGATGCACCATAAACATCGTACATACAGATCTTCGATCGCCAAAAGATGACTTAGCTCTGTGTGGGAAACTGCCAATTTTGAAAGCGTTCGAATTACGAAAGAAACGATAGTTTTGTGTGTAATGTGATAATTGAAACGTCTTTCTTTTCCAGCAAACTCCTGCGCTAAAAATGAGTATACAAGAAAAGTAAACAAAAAATCTTTGGACACGATTTTCGTGATAAACAAACATTAATTAACACCATTTAGTGTCTTCAGTTTCCCTTTGTCTCAGTCCTACATGAGGAAAAGTCA